GATTATATTTATATTACTGCAAACCTAACTTTTCTCTTGATATATAAGATGATGTGAGAATTACAATGTTTTGGGGTTATTTACAATTTTGGAATCAAATCGTAAAAAAAAAACTTAAACAGCGGAAGTTTGAAATAATAAACAAAATGGTGGATACTATTAGGACCTTTTCTCTAAAATTATTTGAAATAAAATTGACCTGTGTTTGCTTGTTTAGTTTCTTTTATTTATCTTTTAAAAAGTAGATACCAAAAGATTGAAACTTTCCTAAATTTAACTCGCTGTTAATTGATAAGTGTTACTCGGTCATCTCTTGCAAACAAAACTGTATTGAATAATTTTGTTTGAAGTAATAATGAAATGATTATTTGTTTCTTGGTAATTTTCATTAAACAGTGATGATAATATAGCTAAAGTTAACTCGATCTGGCATAACTAGTGAAGTACCCAATGAAAAATGATTTTGCCACATGAGTGAATTGGTCCAAGAAGACCTTATGAACAATTGTGCTATAGCAGCTGCTGATAATGATGTTGATTTGATTGGACAAGACATATTCCAAGTTAGAATATTTCCAAAAAGAGAACTGTTAACTTATTTTTGCCAGAATGAATTTTTAGGTAGAGTGAAATCTAAAAAGAGCACAATGTTGTGTCATCTGTGAAGGATAGGAAAAATTTACAAATAACCAATTTTATTTGGTTGGATTTCTCAGCTAGGGGTCAGGTAAAGAATGAGTGTTTTAGTTAGGCAGAGCAACCAGCCTCGGAAGATAACTCTGAATTGAAAATTGTAGACATGGTAAGAAGAAACCTATTATTCTAAAGAACAATTATGTGCACAGTTTACAGACTTTCAAGAAAAGATGTAGAGAGTCATAATAGCCTGTGTTCTGAAAGGACTGTGTGTGTGACACCTACTTTTCTCATCTATGCCACTCTTCCTTGTTAAGATGTAGCTTCAATCAGTTTAGGTGTGATAATATTGAGAAACCTTGTGTATACTACAGAAGATCTTCATATTCAAATTGTTGTCTGATAAAATCATGATAATTTCAGTCAAGATTGGTTCATGAAAGCAAAAATATTGGGAGTGTTTACTTCTGAATACATAAATTAAATGTTCAATATCAGAGCATTTATAGATACAATGTGGAAATAGAAATTAACTGCATGGTGACTGTAAGTTTTGTGCCTTGAACATCTTCAAACCATATTGTTACACTAAAATAATGACAATTACTTTTGGCATTAAAATGACAGTCACCAATCACCATGCATGTATTGATTATGCTTACACTGTATGTTTGTGCGTGTGAATATATGCATGCTCAACCCTTTGGTTGAATGTCTATCTTCCCAATTTTGATGAAATACTTTTTCCAGGATCCATTCTAATATTGATTTTTTTTTTCCTACTTTTACACTTTTTTAAAAAAAATTTTTAAATCTCTCTTATAGATGTGTAAAAAAAAAAAAAAAAACTTTATATTTATTTATTTTTTCTTCAAATAAATAGGCAAAATTCATGCAAACTGAAGTCTTCCAATTTTAATTAAATTTCCCCACGTCTACTGAACTCACGCTGTTAACGTATATACCAGCTGTCTCTTAATTTTTTTAATTTTAAAGCTAATGACGAATGAATTCGGTGAGGATTTTTTTTTTGTGTGTGTAGTGTCACCAACACCCATTCTTATTATCGAAAAACAATGTAAATAACTTTATTTTTTATAAATTGAATTTGTACCTGGAGCTTGGGAAATGGTACAGTACATACTTTTTTTTTTTTTTTTTTATGGAGATTATGAGAAATAAGGGGATTTTTATTAAAATCACAACCTTCGATTCGTTTCCCATTTTGAATTCTTCATGTTTGCAATTTTTACTGATTCGGATGATGGGGATGATAAAAAACTATTTATTGTATAATCTCCCACTATCTTTTTAATTGATGAGGTTGAGATATAAATATCTGAACGGCTTTGCACTTTTCATTCAACTGCAGCTGCTGCTGTTCATTGCATGTATGTATGCGTTTTAGTAGGTCACCTGACCCACTTGATTACTTCACCCCCTCCACCTCCGTCTCATTGTCTGTTGCTGCTGTTTCATATCCACTGTCGTTGTTGGCTACTATTTATTTTTAACACTGCATAATGAATGATACCACTCGCTGTTTGAGTTTAGCTTTTCCTCGGTGTTAGTCTCATCATTTAAATTTTAAATCTGTATGACTAAAAATATGAACTGAAATTTTAGCATTTTTTAAAAATTAGTTTAGAAAGTTCAAGAATGCAGTCTGATATCCCGGGAAACTACGATAATTCTGTTTCCATAATATCGCGATTTGTTTTACTTTCTTTGTAGTTTTGGTAATAGAGCATTTTCTTTCGAATGTCAGCCTCCTGTTTTTTATTTATTTGTTTTCCATATCAGAATAGTTCAGCTTAACGGAAGAGCCGGGAGCAATTGTGTTGCCTTATGAAAATAAATAAAAAAAACAATATATTTTCTTGACGGTCTGAGATTACATAACAATACTCCTTTTATCACTCACGTTTTTATTTTTTATTTTACAAAAATACGAAGCTTCATTCAGCATTTTGAGTTTAGTGCTAGTTTTTATGATCAGTTTTTTACGCAAAAAATAAGGGATCGCATTTAAGTTTTTTGTTTGTTTGTTTTGAAGATTTTCATTTCGATGACTGGTTGCATTTACACACACACACACGCAGGTAATTTATTTTTGGAAGAGTTTTAAAATTCATTCAAAAAATTCGGAAATCCGACTAGAAGTCGGCTTAAACGACAGTTGATTTTCTTTTCCCGAAGATTTAATTTAATCTCTTTTTTCAATTTTTTATTATTCCAATTATTATCAAATCAACTTTCATATGGAAGTTATTATTTTGGAAACCCCCCCCCCTCTCTCTCTCTCTTTCTCCTTGTCTCGTCTTGTCTTTGTAAGTTTCTCTTTTTTGAGAATTGTGCTCGAATCGTTAACTTAAATGGTTTGCTTTCTTTTTTACAGTTTTAACAGTTTCGTCATTAAGTTTTTGGATTATTTTTAAATTCCATTTTTTTAAATTACGTATGCGGTAAAAAATTTTAATTTTTGTTGGTCTTTTTTGCTTAGAAGTTCTGCGCTTCGCTTCGAATATATAATTTTTTTTTTTAGTTAGTAGGTCATCTAGTAGCTGTTCAGTGTTCTGGAATTTTTTTTTTTTTGCTTTTAGTTTTAAATATCTCTACATTAGCTAAGTAAAATTTACCTTATTTATTTCTTTTTATCCCGTCTTCCATAAAAATGTGTTACAGTTAATGGTGTAAGTTTTTTCTTTTTTGTCATTTAAATTTTATAAATTCTTTTGTATTTAAAATTGATGGTAGATGTTGATCAGATATATTTTTAAAGAATATTATTTGAATTGAACTCTTCAAAAATAATCTTTTAAGCAGATACACCTTCCCCCCCAAAAAAGCGATACCAAAGTTTAAAAATATGAAAATTCTTTCTTGTACGTTTTATTTTAGTTTGAATTTCAAGCTAATAGAATAAATAATTCTAATTAATTATTGTAAATTTAATATTTTCAAAAAGCAAAATACTTTAATAAATCTGTCAACATAATTCTCTTTATTAAAAAAATATTTAAAAAAATAAAATATACTTTTCTGAAGTGTTATTTAAGGAAAATTAGTTGAAACTAAAGTTTAATGACTTGAAACAAATATTACTTATTTTTAGTTTAAAATATAGCAAAAAGCATTTTTTTAGCACAATGGTAGGTGTCAACACATTGACAGTCTGGTGTTTGGGAAATTTATCTAAGAGATAATGAACATAAAATTACATGACTAACACAATGTAAATATTTTTTCCCTATAATTCTTTTTTAAATTTGAAGTATTTTTTTTTTTTTTTTTTTTTTTTAAGCATTCTAATATTTTATTGAATTTTAACTATTTTTACTTTATTAGTCTTACTTGCTAAGTAAATAAATTACCAATAAATTTTAAATTTACTATAGTTGCCACTTTTATTTTCGGATAATGTTGGATATTGATGTCTGTGTTTACAAAAATCTATATATACACACACACAAATTCAAAATGCTTTTTAAAATACTTTGGATCACTGAATTGTAAGCTTTTCCATTTATGATTAGTAAATCAATTGTTCAATCTTTATTGATTACATAAATTATTTTTTGGTATACGAAAATGTTTCAAAAGTAGGTAGATAGGATAGAAAGGTTAGACATCTTAATTGCCTACAGTTTGTGAAAGAAATGATAGGGAAATGACTTTGTTGCTGTTATTTACTCTCATTTGTGGAAAGATTCATTATAAACAGCTTTTCACTCTATTTTACACACACACACACTTATTGTCTGATCCAATGTAAAATGTTTTGATGATAACCTTGACAACAGTAATTAATTACAAATGTGCTCCCTTTTAATCAAAGGAATTTTCTTTACATTTGAACTGTAGTTTGTGAATATTTTATTCAAATTGGTATAGTCATAATTTTTTTTTTTTTTTTCATACAGCTGTGTACTCCAGCCAACACCCCAGCAACACCTCCCAACTTTCCAGAAGCTCTCACAGCACTGTCCAAGTTGTCTACGACAGATAAGTTTAGTTCATCTCCTGCGTATGCATCAAGCAACCAACAAACCAATCAGTCGACTCCCAAACCAATGGAAATTGCCCATCGATAAATAACACATGCAAAAAAAAAAAAAAGTAAAATGAATCCTTCTCCCAAATGTGCCGATGATAGAAATGGATCCAGTAAATAAGCAACATTGTGTGCATGTGACTTTTCTTTTTCTTTTTTTTTTTTTTTCTCATAAAACGAGGAGGAGGAGGCAGATTTTAGAGTATGCAAAGGGAATTTTCTTACCACTTGAAATTATGGCCACAGCCACACACATACACACATAATTAAACTTACACACACTGGCCAACAGCTTCTCTCTTTTCTCTGCCTATGGATCATTACCTGCTACTCGTTTTCTTTCTTTTAAAAAAAAAAAAAAAAGCAAAGGGAAAAAAATAATAATAAAAGAAAAAAAGAACAAACTTTCAGGACAGCTCTAGCCCAGAGATTCAATATTTTCTTTTAGTTTCTCCTGTTTAATGGATTCTTACTCCTCTGGATGATTATTTTGTGCTGCACACGTTGTGTTTCATCATCTCCTCCTCCTTCTCCTTATGTGCTCGCTCACCTGCCACTACTCAAAACAATTGGTAATGGTGTGCTCACCTTTCTCTAATGGCAGCCGCTCAACCTTTTGGATGCTTTCCACTTTATCATAATTGACACTGGCAATCAGCTCTTTGTGATTTTTTTTTCTCCCCCCTTTTTTTGCACTTATTGTTTATTGAAGTTTGACTTTATTTAAAGACTCCAAGAGTAAAAATGTGTGCGCGTATGAGAGAGTGAGTGAGATGATGATGATGGGGGTGAGGAAGATGTCAGAGGCAGTGCATAGAGGAAGGAAGTAATAAAATGTCATCAGGATGGAGCACTTCCTCATGTTCCCTTTTTCACTCTGCTAACAGCTGCACATTCTCTGGAAGAAATCCAACAACTTTCTTTTAATCTGGATTCAGGTAATCTCTTGCTGTTGCCTATCAGGCAGTCTTTCTACCTGTGGTTGCTAAGTTTTTTGTTTTTTTTTTTTTTTTTTTTTCATAGAGTCAAAGCAAACCTATTTAACTTCCAGAACTCTCAATGGTTGCACTTGTCTGACTTGGCCTGAATGACTGTAGGCAAGATTATTCTATTTCTTTTTTTTTTTTTTTTTATGGCCAAATACATAGCCATTGGTCATCTAATCCCACATGATGGATTCTACAACCCAAACTGGTATGAGTCCTCATCAAGAACTTCATTGACTTGATGATTCTTGTTTCATTTAAAATAGCATTTCAGTATGTTTCCGTCACTCACTTAGTGAAATGAGATGTTTTTTTTTTTTTTTTGTTTTTTTTATGATCTGTTGTTATTTGAAGATGCTAAAGGTTTGCATCTATAATCTCTTACACTACAGTTTTTATTCACCAAGCCTTGTTTGTCAAACATACCCAGATTCCATTATTCTTCATAGATTTATTAAATAATTCCTATTTTGCAGGCTTGAATGAATCTCTCATTCTGTTGTCTGTTAGCTAACATGGGCTACTAGAACGTCTTTTTAAGTAGCCTCTTTAAAATAAAAAAAGTTGTAATTGAAAACTTTCTTCAACTTCTGTGTGTTGTCTCACATATATGCATATATAAAATGTATCTATCACAGAAATAATTGTGACTACCAGATAGTGTCAATTTTAGTTTTTCACTTTTTTTCTTTAATTTTGTGGTAAACTTCTGACAACTTCTCTGGATTGCAAAATGGAAAAAAAAAAATTCTGTTAAGAAACGGAACTGAAGACCAACTTCCGGTGATATCACTTTTTGTTTACATATGATTGCCATCAATCATGACTACACACTATTCACTATGTGAATTTTCTGCATTTTTAGCTTCCAGCAGTCCAAAGCAGTTTTCAATGTATTCCCCTTAATCATTGCAACTCTCTACTATTTGAATCCTAGCAATCGGAGCTCATGTTCAAAAAAACATCTGAATAGATCATAGTAGTTGTGGGGCCAACAGTTGAACTTACTTAAAATCTTCTATATTTATTTGGTTGCTTGTAAGAACTCTTTATATAGTGAAATTAATGATTGAGACATTTTGGAATTTTATTTTGAAAATATAGTTGTCAGGTTTTCTTTTGATAATGATGTTCTAGTCAAGGCTTTGTAGTTGACATGCCTGAGTTCTTTTATAATATTTAGTTTCATTCAAGCTCCCATTTTTTCTGTTTTTTTGTCATATTTTAAATTAATTTTTACTGTAAATGGCCTTAAATATATTGGTCTGGCATAGGATTTATAGTTGGCCATTAAATATGATTGTAGAATGTGATAGATAATCTCTGATGTGAATCCTTTATATTGACAATAGAATTTTCAAATGTGTATAGATTACTGGCTGATAAAGGCAGAAAGGTCAAAATGAGTTTCTCTTAAGGCCAAGTGAGAGAAGCTGATCAATTATTTTTTTAACCTGTTCTTTACCTGTTTCTTTGCTCAGTATCAGAAACTGGCTGGTGCTCATTTTTCAAAGGTTTTCTTAAAGTGCTCTTTGTTCTTTCATAGTTGACATGTGAAAAACTATCCTCCAGCAAGTCCTGTTTTGGCTTTGGCATGTGCCATGTTGACAATTTGCATTCTGACTAATGTATAGTCTGTCAATCATCTAACTTCTTGTGTCCAACTTTTACAAAGCTATTGTTTCTGCAAAGGAAGGTACTTTTGGACTTCTATTTTTCTTAAATCAACCATAGAATATTTTGGCACATTTGCCTCATTAACATTTCCATGGTAATATTTCAGCTGACTGGTGGCCAAGGAGGTGGATTTGCAGCACAGTCTACTTGACAAGATGAGCATTGCTAAAAAAATTTGTTTTAAAATAATGACACACTTTTTTTATTTTATTTTTATTTATATTTTTATTTTTTGGGATGAGTGTGGATCTCCTAATCTTCTTCTGTTCTGTCTTTGCTAATCTGTACATCTGTTGTTGTGGCCTTGATGTTGCGCTCGTCAAATGTCTTGGAGTGCTGGACTTTAAAAACACAAGATGTTTCCTCAAAGTTGTTGAATGCATTGAGTCTTTCAGAATGTGCTGCTGGAGAGACTGAGAGAGGCTGTTCATAGTTGAGCACCTGATGATGTCATTGGAAGGAGACAACAAACCCCAACCCATGGTAAATACAACCTTGTCAATCAATTCCCTCTTGTCCTACTACTTCTACAACTAACCTTCATACAGAACTAATGCGCTGTAAATTAGTCTGATGTTTTGTACATTTTTTGAACTTACACTGTGGAAGTCATTTGCATTTCTGCCTGAAATCATCCATTAAATATCAAATCAACTAAAATGTCTTGTTTTCTTTTTGCTTGCCATCAGATCTTTTAGTAATATCCGTAAGTGCCTTGTAAAAGTATTTGTTGATGTTTAGTTTACAGGCTTGACCATTTACTAGAAGGATATTTGCAGCAGTCATTGTATGTGGAAGAAGAATGCTAGAAGCACCATGTTTGGGTTTGCCAAGGATGAAATTAGTTCACTGGTGCTTATACCTGGATCATAGTAGCACTATGGTTGGCATTGTATATATGGCCAGATTTTTTTAATTTCTTTCTCTTATTTAAATTTCGCTTAAATTACATTTTTCAGAGTTGAAAACCAGTCTATGAAGATAAAGAGAATAAGTAAAAAAATAACTTAGTTTCAGAATAAATCCTCAATTTAGGCTGTTTAGTGCATCATAGTTCTTCTAAAGAAGACACAAACATTCAACTTGTTTCCACTACAAAATCTTTCTAAATTTCTGCAGCTATTCACATTTATTAATTAGAATTTTTTTTAATGCTTAAAACTTTAAATGAATTTAAGAAATAGTTTTCCTTCCACTCATTTACTTAGAGGCTCAAGACTTATATGCAAGTATTTTTCCTTATTTTTAATTTGGTGCAAAATCTAATATTTTATTATTTGCCTTTTTGAATTATCCCTAAAAAAATATATTTTGATAATTTTATTTTAAGCTTTATAATGGCTTTTAATTTAGAAATGTTTTTCATTAAATTACTTGTCATCCAAAATTGTTAAAATGAAGTTCCTGTCTTATGATCATGTTAGTGTGCTGATCTTATCAGCTATTGCAGATTTTCATATGTGTAACCAAAAGTAAATTTCATCTATTGAAACAAAATTTGCTAGTCACTTATGTATATCTTTCCAGTTTATTTTCTTATATATGTGGTACAGATTTGTTGCATTAAAATATACAAAGATTTTATTCTTAAAATTGCTAATCAGGTAACTCTTAAAAAAAATATTTTAAGGATTTTGTTAGTATTTGTCAGTAAAATCTAATTAGTATTGTATTCAATGGCATTACAAGTGCATGTGTAATTAAGTAATCCTTTTATGTTAGTTTTACAAGTTATTGAGAGTGAGCTTGTCTCAGTGATGCAGAATTTGGCCTAATGCCAAAGTTGATAAAAACTATTTGTTAATCTGTTAAAGCATGCAAACTACTTAATCTAAGTTTTATAATTATAAGCAGAAGAATTTCTCATTTTCTTTCAAATAATTCATTTTTAGTACCTAATTTTCACCTAAGGAAAACAAGTTAAACTTTATTTTACTTCTAAGAAATAACATGCAAATATTTTGCAATAATTTGAATTTTAACACCTAAATTTTCATAAAGTTTGCTTTTGCTGAAGATATAAAATGTCATTATTTAAAAAAAAAAAAAAAAATGGTGAAAATTACATTTTAGTACAATTTTTCTACTTGTGCTATTATTTTAGCTTAAATGTATCTTCTCACAAATCATACATATTTGGTAAAGTTATTTGAAATGAAAAATGCAGTCTATTTAAACCAAGACTTTTTTTCCCAGATGAGTGTTACTTTTAAATTTAAACTCCATATATTCAAAACCTTCAGAATGTTGTTAAATTTTTGTATACAGTTTTATTTGTCAGAAAATTTGAGACCATGATTAAAACATTGGTTCTCTGACGGTTATGAATTCAGTCCCTGTGTTAGGTAGTGCTGAAAATTCATGTACTCTTGTTCAGTGGAAGAGATGGACAAGCCACACAAAGGCAAATAGACTAGAGAGTATAAACTGATACAAGATATCCTCTAAGCTTGGAAAATGTAATGAGAACAATCTAATCCTATGGACTGATTAAAGTGTTTGTTTCAAAATTCCAAGAAGATTACCACATAAGACAGGCCGGAGTATTGATAGTATGAGATGGCCTGAATTGAAAAGCATATAAGAATTTTATTTTCATAAAATGTACTTACATTGTGATGAGGTCACTATTCTCAAAGGCAAAAGACAACTTTGCTAGTGGTTTCATTCCAAAAATGAATTGGAAATTAACATGCTAGACTTGGTCAGTTAGAGTGCTGAGTCATCATGGAAAAACCTAATGAAATGTGCAAATAGGGCCATATTAGAGAAGTAGGTCTGTAGTTAAGCAGAGAGAAGTTAGAAAATTTTTCTCCAGAAGTGAATAAAAACTTTGCTTGTACACTTTTCACTTTCTTTGAGCTATATTGCACCCAGCTCTAGTTTTGTATCTAAAGTTGTCTGTAGAATTGGATATGAAGTTTGTTGCTCTTTCATAATACCATTTGTTTCCATTGGTCCCTGCCTCACACACACACACACTATTTTTTTACATATTATCAAATGATATGTTCTGAAAAGTGTAAGTAGGAGCACTTCACAACATTTTTATTAGTTGATATTTGGTAGATTTCATTTGTCCAAAATATTTTTACGATTGAAATATTAATGTTTATAAATCTTATTAGAAGTTATTAAAATAATAATTATTAGAATAATGTGATTTCAGTCTATATAAATAGTCTCACTGTTGTTTAAAAGTTGATATTGATTTTACTCTGCTGTATTTTTATCACTATCAGGGATTTCTGTCATTTTGTAGTAGCATTCAAATATATAAATAAGTGCCAAAGCTTCCTTGCATGTTGGTATATTATTTACATTGACACCAACCCAATTACTGCCACTATGTACTACAATTGTAGACATTAAGTTTAGTGGAGTAGATACTCAGTGGAAATTTAACTTGTAAGCAGTAAATTGAAACTAATAGTACAATTTGAACTTAACATATTTCAGAGACAAAATACCATAAAAGATAACTTCACAAAAATTAATAAACAAGGCACAAAAAAATTCATCCCATCATAAAAAGTATTTTAGTTATATATTTAAACAATTTTTATACTCTTTTTCTTATAAAAGATTCACTTTATTTTGTATTGCTGCTTGTAAAATTTTAAGGCATCCATTTTTTTTTTCTTGAAATGCTATTTTTCATCTTATATAAACTACTAAACAAGTGTCAAATTTATACATAACATCAACTCTTGGAAAAAATGAATCATTTTCAGATTTTTATTTACCAAAATATAATTCAGTATTAAATACTGAGGTTTGGAAAAATATTTTCATTAAAAAACAAACATTTTAAATTATCTGAGTTCAAGAAATTGTATACTGAACTAAGTGATCCAAATATTTCCTATAGAAACTCGTTTTGGTTTAATTAAAGTGTATGTGCATGTTTCCATGGCCTTATTAAAAAGAAAAAAAAAAGAACAACTATTGCATTAGCAAAAACTGACTAGTTTTTGAGGTTAGCTACTGTGTTTGTTGCCTCACATTTCATAAATTCAACAAAAAACAAATATATATGTAAAAGAACTTTTAAATATAACAAGATATTGAGAAAAGCAGTAAGTTAACTTGAGTTTCTCTATTCATCTTTCCTTTTTTTTTATTCTTTATTTTATGACATGGAACCATAAGGTTACCTACTAAGAATCTATTTTAACTGATAGGCTGTAACAATTGTTTAAACCCCGGTTTCTTAAAATTTTGTTTAGATGAGTTTAATTCTTATTGTATTTTCTCATCTCTGTTTGTAAAGCTTTCAAAACTATCAAATGGTAAAAATTAAAACAGGGAAAATGTTGAGTTACTACCATTATCAGAATTACCTGAAGCATTAAAGTTGAATGTGAAACTAACTGTAGAATCTTCAGTCTGAGTAAATTCAGAATTAGCATCAAAAGAAAAAAAGTTAGTTTCAGATGTTGTTTCTCCAAGTGAATTGCTAAATCCAAGATCCAGTGGACTTGCTGCTGTTTCATTTCCTGAAATTATAAAGTGTACACATTGAATAAAAATACTATATTACTAATACTATATTAGTGAATTTTATGTTGTTACCATAACATTTTTAAAGAAATGAATCTTGAAAATCAAAACCAGAATTTTTAAATATCAAATCTGAAGGGGAGTGGGGAGGGGGTGAAAATAATTAAATTTAGTTCCACTGGTATTTAAGCTAACTTCTGAACTGAACATGCAAGTCAGTAAAATAAGTAAACCTCTTTCCATCACCATAATTGGAACATAATGAATAAATAATTTGCAGGAGGCTACATTTTTACATAACTAGTTCATGCAAATTGGAATTTAATATGTACAAGCATTGGTCATAAACAACTGTATTATATCATTTAGTTAAGTACTTTTTTGTAGTAATATTTTCTGACTCATTTAAAGATATAAATATAAACTTGGCTATTTTCCTATTCCAGTTTACAAATTGGAAAGCCTATCCTAAAAAGCAGCTTGGAAATAAAATCAAAATGATATTGAAGACGATAATGTTTCATAAACCTTTTATACTTTTTCCTTTTTAATAGTTTTTCTCAGATATTTGTAACTCTTGATCATTTTAAATTTTTGCTTTCTAAAGTATTAAAAAAAAATACTAATGCACTTTATTTGTTTTATTGTCATTATTCTCTTTTGCAATCCCTTATCTCTTTCCTGATTAAAAATGAAAGTCAGATTAATATAAATATATATAAGTACAATACCAGAATTCTGATTAAAACCAGGAAAAGGATCTGTGTAAGGTGATAAAAAGGTTGTCTCAGAAGATTTAGCAGATACTGGAGTCTGTTTACATTGAGAAATTTCATCCTATAAAAGAAAAATTCAGAGCTGATTAACAAATATTTAAAAAAAAAAATCTATTCCGGTCAACATTTGCCATAAACTAATACAATTGGTGCTATTCAAATAATTCTTATGGTTCTTAATTAAAAACAGTTATAAGCTATTTAATAAGAGCAAATATCTTTCAATTTTTTAGATCATTATCAACATGTATTTTAATATAAAGCATATATGAAATTTATTTTTATTCTCTGAACAGTGCTTAATATTTGCAAAAACGTTTTTTCTAAATTTCAATAAGAATATTTTAACTGATTTTTATTTAAAGATTTTCATTGTAAATTAAAAGAATTGTGAATCACTACAATATTTAAGAAAAAAAAATTGATGAATAACATTTAATAAGACCTTAAAGATATAAAAATAAGTTTTAAATTACTTATTTCTCTAGTTACATAAATGCTGATCTCTATTGAATCAGGAAATTGTAAATGAAGAATACTTATATTTAAATAAATGGAAAGCATTGGTCAAGAAAACAAATTAAAGATATATACCAAGTAATAGATGCCTTTGTCAAACAAATTAAGCTGAAAATATTTTTAACTGATCTATTTTGAAATCCTGGTGCAAATGCGGATGTTGCTATCTAATTGCATAAAATGTCTTAGCTTTTAAAATTATGAATAATTTATAGCATGCAAGCTTTATTAAAGAGAAACAAAAAAAATTGTTTCTCAATGAGAACAATTTGCAACACACAGTATTTTAAGAACAAGCTTACATTACTGACTCTTTAATTAATTTTGAGCAAGAGTATCTAAAGGTATTTTTTTTGGTTATTTTTAAGTCACACTTTGTTTTGTTTATTTTGTATATTATTTGGAAACTTATGCACTATCAAATTTATGTTATCTATATAACTTCTTAATGTAATACAACCACATTCACTCCTTGTCTATAGAAATCCAATGTTGCAATAATGTGATTTAAATTAAATCGCTTATTTCAGAGAGAGAGAGAGAGAGATTAAATTTAACTGTAAGAACAGATAAAAAATGATGTTCATATCTATACAAAGGATGAAAAATATGAAAAAGTATTTACTAGGCCACAAAATGTCAGTTGATCAAGAAAATGTAGAGTTCTATTTAACTTTGCAAAAGTTTTTTTTTTTATTTATAATTCATAAATTATGTAGAAGTTAATGAATAATCAATATGTCAGTGTATGACAATACATTGATTTTGTGTCTCTCTATGTCCACCCATGGGTAATTTTGATCTGAAGTAGTTTCTTGTTGCACTTGGTCCATTGAGTCTACTTGGTCACAAAAAAGAAAAACTGGGGATTTCAAAATTATGTAAAATACCATTTTAAAAGTATAAAAACTCTGCACACATACACTTACAATGTTAAATCTACCCTCAGGCGATTGGAAACCCGGCTAAAAATATTCTTTAATATTTTCCAAGTCGGCATTTTCTTTGTAAATGAAATTAAAAATTATCAAAATTTGTCAAATCACCTTTCAGAAGAAAGGTCTGTTTCCTCAGATGAAGAAAACCAGATGGCTACCAATATTTTAAAGTCCCCTTAACTTTTTCCACAAAAAGCCTCAGACTAGTCTGGAAGAAATATAGAAATGGATTCCCAATCAACTGTCAAAACTGTTCTTCATCTGAGTCTTGACTAGCTTATTTAAAATTCATGCTTTAGCAAAAGTACTTTCAAACCAGATGTCCCTCTGAGGAAATTGATAAGAACTATCACTGGACATTTTCTGGGTTTATCAGAAAGTTATTTTATTAGATCAAACTAGATTTTACATAATTGTAAAACCCACACTAGTCATAGTGTTACACACACAGAGAAAGGAGTGCTGTAAAATTGTCAACAATTTCAATAATTTACAATGCAAAAGGTTTTTTTTTTTTTTTTAATGTGCCACAATTGATAAATTGATTAAGCTCAAAATTGTTCTTTATGCTTGCAATATTTATTTACTTTTTAACATTTTTCTCACAAAAAAGTTTATTGGTTTGTAGGTTCACTTTCTTACTTTCTTTGTATTAAGTTACATTTCCAAATACTACAAAATTGACATCACTTGCAGGGTATGAGAGGAGACTTGGCCCTTATCAAGATCATATAATGAGATTTGTTGCTTTTCCCTTGACCCAGGAAGAGGAATTAGAAATGAAAATAAAGGTAATCAGAACTGAGATGATAAAATATGGTTGTGTGTGTTATATATGCATGTGTATGTTTGTAGGATGCATAATAGTATCCAAAATGAAAATAAGACAAAGTGGAAAATCTTTTATCAAAAACTGCAAAATGCATCTGATAAAAATTTCCCACTTTTTCTCATCTCATTGAATACTTCAATTATTATGAATACTGAATATTGTACTTTTTTTTTCATATTTAAGGAAGTAAAAGCTTTAACCTTTATAATGACCTGCAGTGATACCTTTTATAGAGTAATATTTATTGAGCTAGTTTAGTTGAGATATATATATATATATATACTAGCAGTAGAGCCCAGCATTGCCTGGGGATGTAACAGTAAGAGATAGATTAAGTATCGACCATCATAAAGACTGAAAAATAAAATTGACAAAGATTATTGTTTAAGGTTGACAAACACACATGTCTTAATTAGTTTTGTTTTTTGTTGGTTTTTTTTTTTTTTTACGAATTGGTAAAAACAAACAAAACATTGTTTTCAATCGTTATGAGTCTCTCGATTGAATAGAATTTTATTATAAACAATTGTCTTGTAAACGGAATTTTTAAAGCATTCTGAATGTAAAAATAAAGAAAAAGTGTGCACGACAATAAGAAACACTACCTGCCAAAAAAAAAAGTGAAGTTTTGTTGAAATCGGTTGAAAAATGTAGGAAATCCGATCCCATATATAAACGAACACACACACGCACACACACACAAACAACCTGGGTTTTATAAGTATCACTCGATATGAGTTGTCCCCCCTTTCTTTCTGGCAATGCCTCTGAATTGTGTTTTCAAATTGATTTCATGCAAAAAAAATTGTTTTTTCCAATTTTTGGCACTGTCAGAACCACCACAAGGTAATTTTACGTAGTTCTGTGAAGTTTTGTTGAAATCAGTTGAAAAATGTAGGAAATCCAATCCAATATATAAACGTACAGACACACACAACATGGGTTTTATAATAAGTATGATTATATATATATATATATATATAGTGAGTTTGATTTTTATGTAATTTTGGCACAAGTATAGTGCACTAAGTTGCACTAAATAACCTTAATGACATACCTGCAATATACCTTTGTTGTATTAATCTTTAACTTTTGGATCTGTTATTAATTCAAGCCCTCTATATATTTTTGTGTGTAAAATATTCTACATATCAAGAAAATTTGAAAATTGTCCCATAAAAATAACATCCAAACCAAAATCTTCAAAATTATATATTTGGAAAGTTTTTTTTTTTTTTTTTTTTCAGACGACACCAAATTTGTGAACACAATATAAAAATTAACTTGTCTTTCAAGTTGAAATACAATTAACTTGTAAAATATTTTTTTCGTATAATATTCTGAACATGTACAAATAGGGTTTTAGAAATTTTTAGTGTTTCTCTGCAAATGAAATCTATATTAAGTGACCTTGTTCAGTTTTATAAAATAGATTCTTGGATGGCATATTTTTGACTAAATCCATAAACATTTTGTACTTCTCACGTAGTGTAATGAAATGTTTTCGTTTTGGCCAAGGCTACCTAAACTACTTGGAATCGCCTTGGTTTTGAAGCAACGTTTCGTCAGTCATAGCGGCAAGTTAGCTAACTCTGTAATACAAGTTTAGAATTATGTCCCCCTTTTGGAAATTATCATTTGACTGAAATAAGAACTGATAAATTGTGAGATAGTCAATGTATACAAATAAGGAAAAGAAAAGGGTTTTCAAATTTAGGTTAACTTGTAATTTTTCTAGTTATTCTAGTTATTATAGTTAGCAATTGAGCAACCAGTAAAGAATAAACTCTGTATAAATTGCTTACAAGACGCGGATGGTATACATTAGCACTGAAGGTTAATGGCAAGAAGTGATTTCAAATAATTAAAAAAATTGAAATGCAGAGGCTTCCCTTACATAAACAGCACATCAACTGTGGCAGTGTTACCGGTTGCTGTGTGAATCCTAACGATGTTGCTTCTGCAGTAGGTCTGCGAGGCTCCTGTTAATGTGGTTACCACTATGTCCTGTTTTGATCACAACCAATATAGTTTTGCACTCAGAATGGAGTATGAACACCCAAAGTCAAGGAGAGCCGAGCATGGCATGCTATCAACATAGGCAGTGACAACAGGTAGCACAGAGTTCACTTGTTGCCTGGGAAATAGTCGGTGCCAACATCTCGTTCTCAACTTCGTTTCTCGGAAATCTCTGACCAAGTGACTGGTTTTGTTGCACTAATAACAACCTACATGAGTGGTCTGCCCTCTCTACACGCTAGTCCCTCATAAAGTTATTGGGACCATTGCACTTATAGCATGTAACAAGTGGGCTCGCACTTGGGGATGGTTGAGCAATCCAGGCAGGCCGTGCTGCAACAACTGGCTCCTCCAATACAGCTTCATCTTTCATAAGTACCCAAGCTTGGGCAGACAGCTCTTTGGCATATCATCCACCCTGTAGGAGGACTGTAGGTGCTTCTTCACAGGGGCCAGTTTGGGCTTCCTCCAAAAAGAACTGACAACTTCTGCAAATCCACCAAATACATATCTACAGTTTCACCCGGATGCAACACACATGCCTTAAACTTCTCGTATGCCTTGAATCTATCAGCGGCAAAAGAGGTGATTAGCTGTTCCTTGATTTGAACTGCATCCGATTTCTCAACTTTGGACAGTTGTTGGTAAACCGCAGACACTCTCCAGTTAGGTGAAGAGGAATGACATGATCAAGCCACTTCACTCCAGATAGGTCACACACCAATTCCAGTTTCTCAATTCAGTCAATCACAGCTCCAGTCCCATCAAATTTGGGAATAATTTTCAGCTCGAATCAACTGTTCATCTCTGCTGAAATAGCTTGTTGATGAATAGCACAGTCTTTGCAAAAAAAAAATCTCCCAATTGCCACGTCTCCTCACTTCTGCTTCCAATTTTCTTCCTGCCCTTCACCATCATTGTATACTACCTTTTAAAGTGGATGTTCATCCTTGTATACAAATGACCAATGTTCATAAAAAGGCTCAACATTACGTATGCACTTTGGACCACTCGCAAATGGCGGTTTGGCAGGCCAGACACCTCAGGCACTTTGGATCAGATAACTGCGAATATCTATTGTCACGATATCCAAATAAATTTTTCATACTTGTGCTCAATGGAAGAATCTCTAATGTTACGCATTAAGAAATTTTGTCATACTAAGAGACTAAATAAATCATTTGCTCTGTCTTAGACATCAGAAGACTTTTTTCAATGACAACTATTTTTTCATAATGTTTTTCTATTTCTTTTGTTGTATAAGAAGAAATATGTTAAAGAATATATTTTTTCCTGTGTTCTATTTGAATTTATTTTTCATGGGAAGTACTAGGAAAGTTGGTTCACTGTGTCATGCCAGACAATTTTTCTTGTCAGCATCCACTCACATTTATAGATCTACCGTTTGTCCATGTCATCGACCCTTAACTGGCATTTTAGCTTCAGTCACTTTCCCATCACTGTAACATAACTTCCTTCCCTCTGTTTTTTCTATAAATATTTTCAACATAATGATGAACTTTTCTCTTAGGTACTTTGATCTTCAAAAATTTAAATGCAATATCAATTGCTATCTTCTGCCTTCTTAATGCCTGTTCTTTTATGTTTTCTTTTTCACATGCTCAGAAACTCCTTGTATTAGTGGCTTTATTGTCTTGCTTGGGGTGAAATAATTAAATTTACATCAGTTTTAAGCTTACCATATGCACACATATATAGTTAGTACATGAATATTTAAAAAAAACTAAAAAAAACGCCACAACCAACCTGTTCAGTGAAAAATGATTGAAGAAAAAATGGATTTTCAACTCTTGTCTTTTCATCAACTTTCTGTAAAGAATAAATGAAATTAAGCTCTAAAACTAAACATTAGTGAATAATTATTAATTTTAAACTGTAAGAATCTTTTCAAAAACATGAATTTTTGCTTAATATTTATTTGTTGTATTGTCAATCTCAAATTGCATTAAGGCATAATGCATAAATTAAAGAGAATGATTGGATTGAATGAGATTAAAAAATTCACTATCTGTACCTACATTAAAACCTAACATTATTAGTTTGGGATTATGATCTAGTTAGGCAAATAAATTATTACAAGTGGTTTTTAACAGCATAAAGGCTCCTTTGATGCAACATGCTTTTTGTCTATCAGCATTTCTTATGGAGAATGAAACAAGCTATAAATTTTGGCATCATGCACTTCACAAAATGCTGATAAAGAGAAAATTAAGAGTTGGAATAGTTCTTATCATCTCCCTATGCATCTATGTCTTATACCTGGCAGTGTAAAGGATTGAGAAGATAAACAAAATGAAAGGGGAAAGAATTGGGACAGTAGATTCCTCCATTCTTTAATACATCAAGTTTGAATAGTAACATACAAAAAAAATTCCACAATCCAATAATAATACTGTTTTTTTATGTGTTTGTTGTTTTTGTGATGTGAATTTTTTCTTCATTGGTTCATTTTTTTTTTTTATTATTTAATGGGAGATCCACAGCACAGTCAAAATGACTAATTAGAATAGTGAAGCATTTACTGTGTAATGTACTGCTTAGATCTGAACTCAAAATTAGCTAATAAGATTCAGTATTACAGACCATGGGAGCCCTTTCTGTCAAGCTGATAAATGGCTTTAAACCATAATGCAAGCTATCGATATTGTCCGAGAAAGATTTTTTTTTTCTCCCGAAATCGTGATGAAATTAGAAAAATCTAATTCAATACTCCCTCTGGAAAAAAATGAGGACGGTTAGAAGATTTTCATATGAACACACATAAGTTTGATAATAACAAAAAATGCACTTTCGTTGTGTTTGAGTAGTGAATCACACATGGAAATATGGCCCACTAGTTATTTTTTGCTTAAAATAACTAGTGGGCCATATTTCTATGTGTGAAAATCATTTGCACTAGCTTGATTAATATAACCAAGCTAGTGCAAATGATTTTCAGTAGATTTGAATATGCTGACTACCTTGTGTATCCTATATTACTGATTATTTACAAGTAATATTTTCCTTTGATTGCTATCAGCCTCAACTGGTCTCTTCAACTGTGGAGTATCATTCAGTAAAAAATGAAACTGCAAAACATTTTCCATTCATCATTCACAGTAAGTTCTTTATAAACTGCATGATTTTTTTATATTTGATTCAAATTTTAACATTCTTAAAAAAGCATAATATGCCCAAAATGTTACTTATTCCCTTCTATCTTCACTGTTAAAATCAAGAAATAAAAATGCAGGCTTTTATAACATTGTATGTACAATCAGAAATTATCTTTTTGAATGAAGTTAGTTAAAATTTAATGCCATCAATGTAATCTAACAACAAAAACAGAAATTTTTTGGTTAGCCCAATATATATAGAAATACTGGGTAGTCAGCTGAATACAAATCTTAACAAGGCTGGTTGACATTTGTTTTAAACATTTATATTATCTGATTTTATGCTAAAAACACTTAGGTTGAGATTACAATTTGCAGTGGTAGGTATAATGATTAACTATTATAATACTGATTACATTAACTCTAGCTTGAGATAACTTCTTCTGAAACAGTAATTTATTTAAAACTTTGATTGAAAATAAATTAAGATTGCATGGTCATAGGCTGATAAAATACTGAATTTTTTTTTCCATTAAGCTTTTCAATATATTGAGCATTATCTAAACATGTTAAAAAGTTAAAAGAAAAACATCCCAAAGATTAAATGTCTAAACTATATATATGTTTCTATTCAAAATTCTTTTGACCAAAAAAAAATGACTTACTCTCACACCTAGTTTTCACTGTGTCCCTTTGAGGTTGTATTTTGAAGATGTTAGTGACTATAAATTAAGCTAATGCACACAAAGGATAACAGCAAAATTGGCATGCACTGTTCAAATTACCTAAATTTTTGTTTGTACCTTTTAAACAAGGCTTGTAGATAATTATCACTTTTTATTGGAAATTATCTATTCTTTAAATATCCACATAATAGAAATGATATAGAGATGCAATAAGTTTTTATACCCTGAAAAAGATTTGATATTTTTCTATATTTTAGGATTTTTCTTAACACAAAAAGTGAAATAATTTTTCAACAACAAAAAATGATCAATAGTATGTTCTATACAGAAACCTGATATGGGCACCTCGGCGTGGTGTAATGGTTAGCAAGCTTGTCTTGCTATGTCAGTTACTACTGAAAAGTGAGTTCGATCCTCACTGGATGCCCCATGCTTTCGGCCTTGTGCCACATCTAAGCTACGCTTAGAAAATCTTTACAGAAACCTGATATAAATATTTCCTGGAATTAAATATTAAGGATATACAAAATTTGAGAAGAAAACCTCACTTCATCATTGGTCTTTTGATCTGTCATTTGGAACATGGGTCTTTGTCTGAGAGATGGAGCACCAGGAGAGGAATGAAATTTCTGCAGAAACTTTTGATGTTCATCAAAATCAAATAATTTTTGTCCAACACCAAGTGCAACTGTAGTCAAAGTACCTATATATAAATTAATAAAATAATGAAACATTTTTGATTCATTAATTTTAGTAGTTTGAAAATAGAAAAATAATTTCAGTAATTTACCACTTGTATTTCAGCATTTAAATTATCAAGGGTTTATTAATGCACTAATTTATTTGTACAATCACATTTGTATAAAATGCATTGTATATAAAAGATTATAAGCCAAAGAAAAAATTGACTAAAAATGCATTTGAAAGCAGTGATTATTTTGGATGATCTTTTTATACAATTGTTTAGATCATATTTGAGGATACACTGTAACTGCAGTAACTCTTCTGACCAAACTCTAACAGTGCAATGGGGAGAAGGGATATTGGCTTGTAATTTTTACTACCTCAAAAACCAAAGCTAGTCACTTTTCCTCATCACTGAGCTGATCCTGAATTTTCACCAGTTATGATGAACAGTTGCAGTCTCAAAGAGGCTTATCGCTTTGAAATCTATTGGGATTCAATCTCACCCCAGACCTCAAGTGAAACTTATATGATCCATCACTAAAGATGCTGGAAAAATGCTTGGCTTACTGTACTACTCCAGAAAGTACTTGATTCTTTCTACAAGACCAAAAATGGAGTATTGCTGCCATATCTGGGCTGGAGCTTCCAAATCCCCTCTTTCTAACCATGACAAAGTTGTTCAAAAGTGCTGATGGGGCCTTGATAAATTATTTTCCATTGTACAATCCCTTTTCCCCACAGATGAAATATTGGAAGTATATTGCTACTCTATCACTATTTCCATGGAAAATTTTCTGACAAGCTACATTCCTTAGTTTCACCAGTTCAAACCTTTACAACTAAGACCTACCATGCCACATCCACATGGTTGAATCATCCCCATTCTCTTCATGTTACATTGTTAAGAAGGGAGTTCCATTTGGAAAGTTTCTTCCCCAAAACTGCTGCTTTATAGAACAGGTTCCTGATTACTCCAATTTTAACTTCTTCAAGTCCATGGTCAACCATTACCTATCCTACATATGTATATGTACCATGATTTTAGAGTTCATAAAATAGTTTGAAACATAGTCTAAGTATATTGGTATTATGTACCTTTATTAGAAAGCTAATGGCAGCACCCCCTTTTTTATATATTTATGCAAACAATTCAAAACGCTTTTGTGTATATTTAAAAATGGGTCAAGTTATGTTAAATGTGAATACTGGCATCATTAGCTTTGTTTAAAATGAGGAGTGACCTGTTGGTTGGACTGGCATAGCAAACAGAATTTAGAACCTGACATACAAGTAGAATAAATTATATAATTTATGTTGTGTTTAAACTAACACAAAAACTTTATGAATTTTAAAAACTTTGTAAATTAAGGAAATCAGTTTTATTTCTTCAAAATGCCAAGAAATCAGAGTTAAAGTGAGATTTTGAAGTTCCATGGAGTGAATTGGGGAATTCAAAGTTATTTCTTCAAAATTATCATTGCTGTTTCCTAAGTTGGATCAGAGGTCCCTTTAGCTTTGGGCCAGAGGTCCAATTAGCCCTCCACAGGAACTAGCTTAAAAATCTGCACAGAGTGCAGTTTTTAAGCTAGTCTTGATAATAAAACTAAGTAGATCCCTTTGGACCCTGTACTTGATCTGGATCAGCTGCTACTTGTTTTTTGTCAAATGTAACACTCATTTATCAGATGTCTCCAACATATTCAGCAGAGAAGCAGTCCCAAATTATAACATTACTTCTACTATGCTTCATAGATTGGATAACTCACTATGAATGATATCACCTCCACTTTTCTTCCCCCTCACTCACTACCAATTTGAATTTGTCTGTCTAAAGAATTTTTGCTGCAATATTTGCGGACCAGATAATTCATAATTTATGAGTATTCTAGAAGTGGTCTGCTGGAATCTGCTTTATGCTCTGGTATTCCAAATGTAAGGAGAGAATTTCACTCAGATATCTTTTTCCTAAGAACTGCTTACTTTGTGGAACAGACTCCTGTCTACATGCTTTCCTGAATACAACAATTTTAACCTCTTCAACTCAAAGGTTAATTGTTATCTATTATCTTTAACCCCATAATCTTCAATTCCTACCATCTCCTCTTGCATTCATATACAGGGCCAGTGTAAAGGTCTTGTGGGGCCACTACTGTACTATATCTTAATTTTCATAAGGTAGTATTCATATAAAATATAAATTTTATTGTAAACTAATTTTGTACAGTAAAGGATCATATGCAATACAGCTGGACAATTCAGCTAGAGAAATTGAAAATAAATACAATGTATCTAAATTTAAATTAGAGACATGTCAGAATAGATCATTCCATTTTAAATAAATCAACAATGTTTTGCTGCATTTTTTAAAATCAACTTGAGATTTTTCTTGTTAAAAAGTTGAATAATTTAACATATTCAACATTATGGATAAAAAATAATGAATTTTATATAGTGTTTTTTCAAGACTTAGTGCAAGCAAAACAAATTCACGGTTTTGGAGGAACAAATAATAATAATGTCAAAATCTGCAAAAAATTTTCATCCTTTAATCATCAGTTGTACTTACTTTAATTTGTAACATATATAAATGTAGATAGAAAAAAAGAAAATGTTGATAAGATAGTGAGTGTCACAAAGTAATGCTTGCTTTTCCCTGGTTGAGGGTTGCAGAGGTAGTATGCACTGGCCCTTTTCATATCATGCACCTCATTCATCATAACCATTTTAGCAGTAACCCAATACCTTTAGTATATAAGAAAAAATGTGTTCCCTTCTTCAAGCTCATAGACAAATTTGTTTTTATCCCATAGGTGCTGTACTAAAAGATGTTCTATATCTGATTAATTTATTTTTAGATGTCATCTTGCTATGGCTCTATTTTGAAATTTACCTGATTTTACTTGATTAAAAGTATATCAAAAGCACCCAGAGATCAGTTAATGTCTTCTGCAATTTTTCTATACATTCAGCTAGCATCATATAATGCTTGTTTCCTACTTCTTTTCAAATAACACCATAAAGAAATATATACAGTATTACAAGATTGTGTAAATAAAACCTAAATTGATCAATGGTATCTTAAAAGATTTTACATTATATATTTTTATTTATATATTGGGTTGTCCAGAAAGTTCATGCCAGTTTTTAGTCATTCATGTTCCAACATGTTAGAACATAAAATTTATCGACAGATATATGCTTACATTTCCAATTAGAGCAAACTTCAAACTATCTCTTAAGAAAGAAAGCTTAAAATTACTTAATTTGTAACAATTTTGCATCCATATGAAAATAGAAGACTATTAGGTGCATTTTAGATACTTGATACTTCTTTTTTTACTGTAAAGGGAAATGCCTTGCAAGCAACAAAAAAGATATGTGCTGTCTACAGTTAAGGTGCTTTAGATGACAGAACTGTATGGAAGTGGTTTGCTAAGTTCAGAGTTGGTGATTGTAGCCTTATTGATGAAGAACACTCAGGCAGCCCCTATCTATAGATGATGACCAAATCAAGACAGATTGAGAATAACCCACATTACACAATGCAGGAATTGGCAGAAACACTAAATTTATCAAAATCCACCATCCATGAGCACTTAGTGAAGTTTGGATACTCAAATTGCTACAATGTTTGGGTACCACATGGTCCGAGTGAAAAAAATCTTTTTTGATCACATTTCGTCTGTGATTTGCTGTATAAACAATGAAAATGCACCTGAATTGGCGAACAGGAATGGTGTTGTTTTCCATCAGGATAGTGCCAGACCTCATGTTTCTTTGGTTCACCCGACAATAATTGTTGCAGCTTGACTGGGATGTGTTATACCATCCGCCATATTCATCAGACATTGCTCTTTCAGATTTTCAATTATTCAGGTCCTTGCAAAATAATCTCAATGGTAAAAATTTTAATTCTTTGGATGACATAAAAAAAAAACACCTTAATGAGTTCTTTGCTGAGAAACCACCAAAATTCTAGGAAGAGGGAATATCTAAGTTGAAGGAAAAATGGAGAAAGATTGTGCAACAAAATCATTCATATTTAGTTGAATAAATATTTAATGGCATAATTTTGTTTTGTGTTTTAATTTCCCTTGAAAATCGACATGAACTTTCCAGACAATCCAATGTAATATAAATATGATACATATTTATTTAGTTAAACTCTCATCTGTCAGCTATTAAGTTGACAAAGATAATATATATTTCAATGATATATGATTTTATAATTTTTCATTTATAATAAATTAGAAGAATTGAAATACAGAGGACAGGTAAGTTATCAAGCATACCTTCATTATTATCTGCAGAAATCTGTGCAATTTCAGGAGCTGTAGATAAAGGTGGTTGTTTTGATGAAGTTGTCATCTGAGAAGAATTAGAATTACTGTTAGATATTGGAAGTGATGTTTGCGGTGCTTCTGATGGAAAATGGGATGGAGTTAATACTGCTGGGATCTGCTGAGATGCAAGACTTACAGACTGAGTAACTTGAATATCTGCACAAGAATTGTGAACTGATGTTGATGGTACTAGAGTTATTTTATTATCAGAGTTATCTTTTAGTTGGTTGCAGTTTCCTGAAGCAGTCTGAAATAACAATATAATACAAAAGACAACAAACAGAATTAAAGTTGTAGAAAAATTCCTTATAACTAATAACGACATATGATACCAAAATGACCATATTTGTTTGGAATGCACATACAAACATGCATGTATCCCAAAATTAATAAGTTAATGAAATACAAAAAACAGAATGAAATAACTGAATATTCATGCTTTCTGCTTTTAATAATCTAAAGTGCAAACCATGGTGTGTGAAATTGGAATGCATACATGCACACAAAATCTAAAATGTGATGTTAATTTTTTGATTTAGAAAAACTGCTTATAACTGAATTTTTATAAGAAATCACTTTTTATTTGAGAAAACTTTCAAAGAAAAATTTAAAATACGTTACTTTCCTTTAATAAAATGGAATAAAATAGAATTGGTAACTATTTCTATATAATTTTTTATGCTACACCAACAGATATCTCAAACCTTTGGTTGTATCACTTCAAAATAATAAATGAATATAGATTTTTGATTTTCTCAATAAAAGTATCATTTAAAATGAGTAAAGGCATGAAAAGACTGAACTGAAATATTTACCTGCTTTAACATTCCATTTTGGATTAAAGGTGAATGTAGAGATACCATAGAAATACTAGCTGCATTAGGAAGTCTATCTACAGTATCACTAATACTTGTCTTTGTAGACCTCATTATATCCTCAGGCATAACTGTGTTAATAATACTAACTAGTGGCTGTGAAACCTGCTTTTAGAAAAAAGAATTCAAATTGATTATAAGAGTAATAACATACATAGAAATATATTCTTTTGTTTACTAGAGCCATTCAAATAATAAAATCCAAAACATAAAAATTCAAATGCCTACAGAATTATATGTTTGATATTGATGAAAACAATAATTTACAGAAAAATTTTAATACATTAAATTATGAAATAAATGTTTTATTATAAATTATAATGAATTAAATTCATTTGTACAATTGAAAGAGTATTGCTACTTGCCTATATGGAAGAGACAAATATGGAATATATGTATTGACTTCTCTTGCTCTTAAGTAAGCATTTTATTAGTTCCCAGGGGTATTAAATCAAAAGGACATTGACAAACTACGATAATACAACAAAAAAAGATGGTTATATGCATCAAAAAGTGGCATTGTGACATCAACATAAATGATAACATCATATCACAATAAAAGAAAAATGTTCTAAACTTCCTGGAGGGAAGTGTAAACAGCTAATAGTTTTTTTATTAGTTCAAACGTTATTTTTAGTGGATACCTGTATATGAGTAGACACTCCGTTTAATTTTAAACAGTATTTTATTTTGTCTACCTAAGTTTTTTTCAAGTATGCAGGCCAGTAGATGAAATAAATAGTTTAAAATAGAGTGTCCACTAAAAATAATGTTTTAAGTAATAAAAATATGCCAGATTAAAAATATCAAATCCATCAATTCTTTAGAAATTTCCAAGTATTGTACCTTTAGACTTGGTTAAAATTTAAGCTCAATGAAATTTTACCTATGCAGACTGAAAATTTTCTACCGTACACATAAAATATACAAGAGATAATATTTGCAGAATATTTTTTTTGTTTAAAGTAGTTGCATGAAAAATAAGTGCATGAACAATTCACCAGGAAGATTTTTGGAAGAGCTAAACTGACCTTAGTATTTAAGACAGTGCTCCTTTGGTTCTTAGCATAACTAATATCTGGTTGCTTGAATAAATTGGCATCATGGAATGATTGACTGGTCTTCTCACAAGTCTTTGAAATCAACACATTTTTTTCATAAGTAATACTAGAGTTTTCAGGTTGTAAAGAAAAATGAGTTTTGGGTTCAGATCTTGGCAATTGCTTTGAAGGTACATATTCATTACCACTAAAAAAAGAAATGAGAAATTTTCATTTTAGTCTTTATTAAATTTATACATTTTATAGAATTTGTTTTACAAAATATATTTTCATTTTTCAAGATAACTTTTTTTCTTGTCAAACTTTTTCTTCTTTTACAAATTTGATTTTTGCTTTCTAATTTTTTCTAGATCAGTTTTATAATTACTGACATTTTCTTAAATAATCTTGCCATGCCAGTACAATAACAATTTGATCATCTCTATACAGTCTCATTTTAGGCTAATAACCAAAAATTGTTTTTACAGAAAAGTACACAAATTGAAAAATAAATAACAAAATTTAAGTTTCTATGTCTTATAAACACAATTTACTAACAAAATATTTAATAGGATTTTAATAGCATACATTTTTCAGGTTATTTAAGCTTCATGAAATAAAAATATATGTTAATACCCTTGGGAAGTGTATGAATCTTCTTCTCTCTTGAGCTATGGGTAAATAGCAGGACAGACCAGGTTCTATAGCCTTGGATGGCAACTGGTCTCCTGCAAAAGGAAATGGCAACCTAATACGGGAAAAAAAATCTGCCTCGTCAGTCATGTATCAAAAGATACATGATCACCTATGCATGTATCATGCATGGCACATAAGTGACTGATGTTAAATACTTATTATTTTTTATTATAGTTATCATGGTAACATTAGAGTTTCCCTCTGTAATAAGATTTTTAAAAAATACTTATATTCAATAAATATAGAACTTTAGAAAAACAAATGACCTGTAAATGAACTATGATCTATGGTTTTAAGAGAAAAACATTTTTTGTACTCACACTTTATCCAGACATTGATCATCCATTTCTTCTGGAATTTGTGGTTCTTCTGGTGCTAAACACATATCTGGTTGAATACTTTCCTTGTTTAACTCAGGTTCTTCAGGGGAAGAATTATCCTTGATAAAAATGTTATTAAAAATTGGTTAAATGAGTAAACAGTATACAAAGGACATGTTTTCCTATATTTAAATATTGAATTCTCTCTGAATTTGAAAAAAATATATATCTATATGAAACTTGCTGAGGAAAATAATAAATGCATTTCAATTATTTTTTAGACCTGTTTTGTTGGACTAATTTAAATAAAATATAAAAACAGAGACAACTGTGTTAAGAACATGCACATACAATTAAGCATGGACACACACTTACATCTACACATACATACAGAGATAAAAGAGATACCAAATGATATATATGAAATAAAGTAGTCTGTTGTTAATTGTTGGAGCTGTGTGACTTATTTTGTCTTGGTCTGTAAGCTATGCAGGGAACAGAACTTGTATAGAACGTTTCACATATGCTTATAATTTTAACTGATTTGATACCAAGTCATTGTTGTTTTTCTGAGGATAAACCTTTCTAAAACTTTTTCAGAATTTTTCTAAGTTGAATGATAAACTAGAGAAGATTTAAACCATTACACCAAGCATTATAAAAATAATAAAAATACATTCATTCTGTATTCCATGCTATATAACACATATCTGTAATTTGGCAAGAAATATTTCATTATTATCATCAGCAGTCACATGACCAGGTGTTATTGTAGTTGTAGGGTTGAGCACCTGACCAGCTCTTTCTACTGCCTTAGTAGATATTCATTCATGTGTAGCATGTCTTCAGCAAAGTGGACCTGCATTTTCAAATCAGTTGATGTCTTTATAGACTGTTTTTTTAATTATATTTTAATATTATTTTGATTTTTAATCATAATTTAAACATTTCTAATAAAATAAAAGATTTGTAATAAAAATAAATCTGATTTAATTCTGGAGTTATCTGAAATTAGGGTATCAAACATGGGTGTTTAGGTGTTTGTCGCGTAACAATAACCCTATTATCTGGGTATAAGATACAGGTTGATTTGGGGAGGGTTTTTATCAGAAAAAAGTGTATCATATGGTGGAAATGCAGTATGTAAAAATCAACTAATAGATAAATTAAGCCGATTAAGTAAAAAATAAATAGCCATACTTACTACATGCTTTTCTTTATTCTTCTGCTTGATTTTACTTTCTAACAGAGAAATATTTTTCTGCTTTCTGATGCTGTTTAGTTTGAGTTGAGATATGGACTTGGTAAGGATATTAATAACATTATTTATCAAAACACAACAAAATGCTTTCTATCAGTCCTAACTATGATACTTTTACTCTTGTAAATTTAATCAAATGTAACAAAGCACTGACCCTGTTCAAATATATAATTGCATGAAATTGCTGGATAGTGATTTGGAGGGACTAATAATTGGATAATAATTATTAAAATTTTCAAAAGTGTAGATTGAATGGTTGCAAAAAATGAAAAAAGGAACAAGTTAAGAATTATGTTTTAAATAATAAAATGAATTTAAGAACAGTTCCAAAGATAATCAGACCCCAAATTAACTAACAAAGATTCCACTTTGTCCACTTCCTGCTAATAAGGAGAAGACATAATTAATGCATTAGCCAAATATTTTGGTCCTGAGAAATTAAATTCAGGGTTTTGTTTACATACTTAATATCCCTCTAAAACAAGTATATTCTTACAGAAAAGAGTGACACAAATTCTTTTAAACAAAGAAGACATCTGGGTTAGTGCCTAATTTCCAAACTTGGGGTTCGTTTATATTGATGCTGTCTGCTCAAAACATCATCACCTTTACATAAATACAGTAGAGAAAATTCTAAAACAAAGAGAATGCTATGTGCTTATTAACAGATCTCCTAAGATTAAGATGATCAAGGTGGAGAAATTAAATATATCAATATCAAATTTTAGTGTGGAAGTCATTTATAAAAATAAAGAGTTACTAGGCCCAAGAGACACATGGAAAATAGGTCCCAAGAGTTGTCAGAGATTTACACTGGTCACATGAACAGTAGCCACCTCACATGAACACACCAGCATTTCCATAACAGGAATGAACACGCAGATACACACATGACAGGTAGTTGCTTCCATTATTTTATAGCAATTAATAATAGAATTCTCAAATCATCATCCAGCAGAGGGAAAATTTAATCTTGCAGTAAATAATTGAGACATTTTATTCACCAGTTTGTTTTTTCTTTTTTATATTTAATAAACCCATTGTTAGAGTTATCAACAGTGTTGTGCAATTTATTGGAGAAGTTCTTATTCCAACCCTGATTACCAATGTTGTTCTTGGATACAAAGAGACAAAATTTACCATAGCTGCAAGTTGACAATTATTCATTCTTAACTGCAGTATGCAATGTACATAGATGAGTCCACACTAGATTTCTCCATCAATCCCAATATCATAAGATTTTGGGAAACACAAATCAACCTTATTGAGATGAAACACCAATTTCAACCAAGGAGGGAAAAGAAAACCAGATGATCCAGAAGATTGGTGTTACTCAATAAAACTAGCAGAGCTAGTGACTGAGAAAGAAAAGGAGAAGAAGAGGCTGGTGGGAATAGTGTGTAGGTTACACAAATTTCAAGAGTTATGTGAGCAAGGTTTTAGAGAAAATGGAAACAAAAACATATTCAAATTATTCCCAAGTATATTTTCTGAAGCTCATTTAAAAGACAAATGCAGTCATATAGTGCTACATAAAATAAATATTTTACAATTCTTACTCAGAAACAAACAATGACAAAGTAAGCACATATAAACTTTGGATCAGTTGTGATTATTGTAAACTTTAAAAAATTTTAATTTGTGTAGCTTTTTTCTCAGAGTAATTCTTCTCAGTATCAGATAATTACTACTAGAAAATATAATTCTTTTTTTTACAAGATACAAACCAGATATCCCACAGTTCACAGCAGATTAAAAACAAAGAACAATCATAATAAGAAAATGTTTTTATATACTAATGTTTACCCAATATAAGGCCACCCAAGCACCACTCAAGGTAGAAGGTTACTGTGTGGTGTTGCATGTGCATAAGAAAGAGCAAAAAGTGAAGTCTATGGGGATATGCAGAAAAACTAAACATGATGGTGGGTTTGTATCCAATATCAAAAATCATTTAACATTGATTATAAAAGGCTCAAAGAAATAATGTCCTTCATAGTTCTTACTGACAATGTCTCTTAGAAATAGTATTAAAAGTCAAATATGCAGTGTTAATAAAAATTACTCACAAGACAAAAATTTAACAATACAATATTTGAGATTATAGGCTAGAAGTAAAATAACATCTTTTTTTCTTAACTCTCAACTATTAATCAAATATTTAAGAATTATATGAGCAACAAACTTAAGGACTAATGATGGGAAGTATTTAGAAAAAATATTTTAAAGTGTTTTGAGAATTAAATTGACTTAAAGTATACAGGATATGTCCTGAACTGAAAAAGTTATTAAGCAAGAATACAAATCCACACAAAACCTCTGTAATTCTTGATTATTTAATAGTTTGGAACCTGAAAAGAAAAGGAAAGGTTTTATGCAAAAATAAAAAATAAAAATCAGTTATTTATACTTATTAATTAAAATTATGGGGTTTGTATTAAAAGAGGAAATGCTAATGGAGTTTTTTTTTCTAGTTGATGTGAGAAAAGAAAACAGAATAAAACTTAAATAAACAGTTTGTCACTAGGTGTTTCATTAACTAAAATTCATGTCCAACTTAAAGGGTGTTTAGGAGTTCAGCATGGTACAGTATAGTAAGTTTATGAGACCAGGTCAGGGTTTATTTAAATGTAGGTTATGAGTTGATGAAACTTGGGTGAAAGAAATTTCAGTATATGGTTGCTAGAGATATCCATGCTTAGGTTAAGGTTGACAGACTAGTAAAGATTAAAAACTTATAATTTGAGTGTCTGCTGGCATAGGTATATTGTCATATTGAACTCAGATTACCATTGCTAAAGTCAGAAAAATATATACAGCTACATACAAAATATATACAACTACATGCAAAACGGATGAAGAAGTGACTTTTGTTCAATTTTATTAAATAATATACTAAAGATATTACATGAATAATTTTGGGTTGAAAACTAATCAAATCCCAATATCCACCCATTACCTTTATACCTAGCACATATAGTCATTTAAATACTTAGGTTTTCTATGACAGATAGATACCATAATTTCAGGTGGTATTGAATCTATACTTGTTAAATCAGGTCTTTCTAGATTTTCAATTGAACTGTCAGTAAGCTGAGATCCTGCCTCTCCTGAGAACTGATTATCTGAAAGGTCTATTACTATAGGCCAAGGCAGCATGACCTGAGTGAAAATGTCTGCTGAATTATTGAAACATGTATTAATAGTAGGTTCCATAGACATATGCCACAAAAGTGTCTTCTCCACATGTGCCTATCTGTTTGTCAAACATGAAACGTCAATAGACCTAAATGTTTTTCTAAAAATTCCAGGTAACCATTTTGGTTTTCCTCATAAATTTACAATGTTCATTGAATACCCAACATTGAACTTTCTTTAACAATGCAATTTATCAACGAATACTTTGACATTATACATATTAGTGGTAACTCTGGCTGACAAATCCAAATGCGCTAAATCATGGCGAGTTTTAGGCTGTTGACCTATAAATAACATTGCTAGTTACTGACCTATTGCTTATTACAAGGTCAGCTAATATCAAGCTAAGATATGAAGAAAACAGGTTTCAAGATCAATTGAATCTTTCTTTAATCAACTCTAGATGGTCTGAACTGCACATTCAACTAATCTATTTGATGATGGATGGTACAGTAAACATTAGGCAAGTTCAATGCAAAATGCTTAATGGTAAAAATTACATGTAAGCATTATCAGACACAGTTATATGTGGAATTGCAAGTGTATTGAGTGTATGGCACATTATTCACTCACACAGCTTGAATATCTATGGATTTGCTATGGACATCTACAATCACAAGAATCCAATTGCCATCTATTGGGCCTGTATAGTCAATATATAACCAAAACCATGTCTGTCTAGTGATTCCCATAAGTATAGCATATTACACTGAGGTATATTCCTTGCCTCTAGACACATGACACAACTTTTTCCACACATTGCAATATCTACCAGGCCAACATATGATGACAGGAGTGAGAGATTTCTTTCATGATATGTCTAGATTATCCTCATATAATATGGACCTCATGAAAACTTGCAGTGATAACAACCTTTGATATCCACAAAACACAAGTTACACACAGATAATTCATTTAAATTTGGAAGATTCATTACCAGGCTGTTCTTGTATAATCCATTTGCATATCGGTACTAGCACTAAATGCCTGGATATAAAAAAAAAATGCAACAGTCTTTATTGTTACTTGACCAGAGTTTAAAACTGACATGTAAAGAACAACTTCTTCAGAACAGTGCAACTATATAACAATGTCCTCCAAAACTCAAAATTCTTTAACCTGGTTTAGCTGATAGTCATAACTGAACAAACCTAATGTCTAGCATTGAACATGCCATGGGTGGGAGAGCACAATTTTCTTTCAATAGTTCAAGCAGTATTTTGTGATCAGTGATGATCCATAAACTTGCAACTGTAGGTGAACTTATAAATTTTGCTAACTCCAAAAGTCATAATTAGTCCTTCACATTGACTTTGCCTGGAATTCTGTCCTGCATTAAATAATGTTATAAAGATAAAGTAACTTGTTTTCTCACTTCAGTCTCTAATTGGTAATGGCACTGTGTTATAATGTATTATATATTATAACACAGTGTTATTGCCAATTACAGAACCATCAACAGTCATAAGAGTTCATACTCAGGATTGCAATGTACTCAAACCTTAACTGAGATTAACAGCTACTCTGAATATTTAAGCACTTTCTACGAAAATCCTAATTGTAACAACATATGCAAGAGTAGCCAAGTATGAACTGAGATTGTTTATATATCAGTGCTAACAGTTGATAAGAGCTAAATAGCTATGCAGTCCTAAAACATTTGTCGGGACAGGCACCTCATGTACTATTCTAATTTTGTCTTGTGTTCAGTGAATTCCTTCTGGGTTAATTTTGTAAGCAAGTTAAATGATAAAGAATTTTTTAACTTAGTCCTGTACCTTTAATCGCTCTAAACTTTATGAGAGATTATTATTATATTTGTTTACATTAACACCAGACACAAGAATATCATTTGCATAAGCAACAGTCTTAAAATATTCTTTAAATCAACTGTTCTATAGCATATTGGAACAAACCCAAGTGAGGAAGCAATTCTAAAACATAACCTGGTATGCACAAAAGGACTCTTTTCAGTATTTATTCTTGTCAATTTTGGTGATTCTTCAAGAGGAATCTGTAAATAAGTATCACTTGAATTCAATTTCATGAAGTAATATCCACAAGAGACTCTAGAATATATTTAGAATATAGGTCACCAATGCTTGGATTAGAACATTTGTTTATCTCCAAAACAAAGTTCATGGTTTATTTAAAATAAATCCAAACTAAGCAATTTTTCTTTAACACTGGTAATATGTAAGAAGCTCATTAAGAAAAAGGAATTGATTTGATAATCAGGTAGACAGAAACCATGTGGTCCAACTCAGCTTCTACTTTATCTTGGAGGGCTAATATCAGGCTTTCATAAACTGAGGGATAATATTCTTTTGACATTGTTCAAAAAGTTGTAAAGATTCATGTCACAAATTTAGCCATTTAATTTGGTTACATGCAGTTGATATATCAATTGGCTATTGGTTTTTAAAGTTAATCTTTTCAAGCTAATCTTGGTCATAGCCAGATAAATTTACCCTAATCTTGGAAAAATCACTACTTCCGAGTTGTATAATTTCTTCAGGTATTTTTACTTTTACTACTGCTCTAAGGACAATAAATTCACTTGATATATTTCCAGATTCAACACAATATTCATTCAAGCAAGCTAAACATTTTTTAAAGGATTTCACCTTCGATATCAATATGTCACATTGTATACAAATTACTCTCAAGAAACTCAGAACACATCCAGTTTGATATAAAATGGACACAAGGGGTTATTTCTACTTCCTTTTTATTACCCAAAATACAACACTAAGAATATTTCATGAATAGGACCCAAAAACAATCAAATCTCAACAATTATAAGATGCAAAAGATGAGTACAACTATTCTGAAATCAACTTTTCAAAATAAACCAAAATTTAAGAGATTACAAAAGAAAACATTAAAATGATCAAACAGCATAGAATATTACTTATTTAGGCATGCATTCGAAGCTGACTATTTTGTTCCTCTAAACATATAAGTGTAAAAATTCATGCACTTCATGGTCTTAAAAATTCTATTATGCATTAAGATTAAAATTTTCACTAATTAAGTCTATTCTATTCATTGATCCACTGAGCATTGATCAGTGAAATAAAAAACCGTCAACATTATGAGCAAAAATACAAAAATAATATTCATATATTTTAAGTAGTTCTTAAAAAGTGATTGATATTGGAGCAAGAATTAAAAAATATCCTTCATTGTTTATGTAGCCTATGGTCTTCAAAACTCTTAAAAATTGCAAAGAAATGTAAACCAAAAAGAGGATATTTCTGGGTGAAAGGAAGGCATAATGTTTCAATTGAAAAAGGACAACATATCCTCGTTTTGAATATCTCAAGATAACTATAATAAAGGTATGTATTTGAGTTGTTCACAGAGTGATTTATCCTTAAATAGATCACAAAAGATACAAAATACAAAGACGGGTTAGAAAACATTTAACATAGACTGAGTGATGATGTATTCAGATTCATTTAAAGTAATAGAACTCTTTTAAGTTATCATTTAGTTTTGAGCCACTTTGTGTGTTCATATCTTAATACCAGACATAGAATTTCTATCTTTGACAGAAAAACAAACATAAAAACTGAAATTGAATGTAACAATATTATCAATTGTACTGTAAATACAGAACACTACATTTTCTTCAGTCCCTGTTTTGATAAATAACTAAATTAACTAGATATTACTTATAGTTTCTTTAAAAATAATAGAATTCAGTAATTTCATAAAGAAAAATAAATGAATAAAGTGAATTAAGTAAAACTGGAGAAATGAAATTCTCACATTAGCAATTGATAATAAACTATGAAAGTTACCTTGCAAATTGACAAAATTTGTAATCAATTCTTGTTTTTCCTGTTTTTTATCTTTCAAATGAGCTTCTGTAATGGAAAATTCTTTCATTTTATTCTCCAGCACTTGTACAAAACTGAGGGTTTGATATTTGGCATCATAATCTTTCCAGATATTCCAGTAATGATCCAATATTTTCTGATTTTCATCTCTAAATAAATCAAAAGAAATCTTAATTAAACAGCACTCTCCAAAATGACTAAATTTTTTAATCTATTTTAAAGTTACTAATAATACAAACAGTGGATTTTACCTTTTACATCTTGGTATTAGTATACTATCCCAACATAAGCATTACTATAGCCACAATATAGCAAAATTTTGTTCATGGGTAAAAACAAAGACAAAATGTTACCATATCACCGACATAATAATGCTCATGTTGGAATGGCAAGGTAAATGTATCTAAACCAACCATTCCAGTAATTGGTTACCTTGACACAAAGTTATTCTGATGAACTGGCTTCAACTGGCAAGGCAACTTACATTTCACATCTTGGTAAATTCAAATCAAGCAGCAATAATATAATAGAATTGATCCTGATACATGTAATTGAAATGTAAAAACATTCACACCAAAAATGTCTAACCCATCTAACATGATGGCCAGACTGCATCACAGTTGGTTTTGGTACATCTGGCATTACATGAGATGGATTAATCATTGGAGTGTACACATCAAGCCATGTAGCAATCAGAAAGATGGGCTTCAGCCTGTTCAAAGAGATACTCTAGTCTACTTGTTTAATACACAGTACTTGGTATACCTATTGAGGATTTTGAAGGATCTTCTATAAGGTGGCTGAAGTGTGAATGATTAGACAGAGTCCCATACAAAAACATGTTTACAAGAATCTAAATGTTTTGGCATATACGTGGATTTGGGACTGCACAAGAGGATTGTTCACTGTCTCGGTTGTCAGATGATTGATGAAATGGAGTCTATGATATTCTGTGGAGTCTGGAAGAAGAATTGTCCAGAAAGTCTGAGCTTGGTGCCATACACCATCTCAGTAGACAAACATTGAAAGTTATTCCTAGCAAAATTAAGAGAAAGTGTTACCCTATTGTGAGTATTACTTAGGGTGGTAAGGTAAATTTATCTCCACCAGCCATTCCACTAACTGTTGACCTTAATGTGATGTAACTCTGAAGAATTGGATAATTCAAGTGGTCCCTTAAAGCATCCTAGCATTTGTATAGCTGAACCATCAAATTATCAAAGCTATATATAAGTGTTTCATAATTTTGCCTTTCCTGGTTGTTCTCAAAATTTCTGGGAATGAGCATTACTTTGCTGCCTGTATCCATTTGCATATCTAAATTGGTGTTATTTATTTTAACTTGCATTAAAATGTTCTTTTCTTTTTCTTTCAATAAAAATGTTTCTCTCTTATTTTCATTGCCACATTGCTTCTGAGTAGCACTCTCAAAATCTTTCTATTTGACTTTGTATACACCTTGGAAGTGATTCTTTTTCATGCATTTTCATTTTTGTCTTTCAAAAAGTTTTCTTTCTCTCATGTATATATCCACAATATTGGCATTTGTTCCCTTTAATAAATACATATTGACAATTTCTAAATCTTCCTGTAAACTTTCAGACCTGTTGAATTTCACAATCATTTCCAGCTGCTATATAAATTCCATGAAAGCATTTAAATGCGTCCTAATTGAAGTTGCTCAAGCATTTTGCATCAATGCTTTTCATTGTGTAATTTTTTGATAATTCTCATCTATATCAACTTCTCTCCTATGGTTTGGCCTTCATTTACAAGTTTTTTAAAATCACTATACCAACTGGTCTCCCTTAGTGGGTGTAAATATTTGATGATAGGTTCACCTGATTCTTGTTTCATGGACACAAATTTTGTCCATTCTACCATACCCAACCTCGTTTTTGGTTACATGTTCCTTAATATTATTTGACTTATTTCCTGAAAAGTTAAGTTTTCTAATTTCAGGAGATGGGCCATTATTGAAACTTTTCTGACAACTTCAACTCCCATAGTTACCATAAAAATGGTTCATTACTTTGTTTTCTCCCATCTTAGCATTGCTGACTTTCAACTATTTGGTTCTAGTAATTGCATCGAAGCACTTCAGCCATGTGTCCATAAAATAAGGGCCCTCTAGGGATAACGAGATGTGTAGTAGTAATCATAATTTGCTCACAATCACTATCCACAAAAGATGTCATCCTCATGACTACTCGAGTTTATATATAGAACATCTCTTATTCATATGCAAATGCTCTTCCGTTTATATATGTTACAATTTATTTCATTCACATGAAGAGTGGTAAGGTAAAAAAAAGCTAATGTGGAAAATTTTATTTTAGTTTTAAATAATAAATGAAAAGAACTTTTTTACCCAATATTTTAGTTACTCCAGGTTGCTAGTTGTTTGTTTTAGTGTCATAGTATTTTTAAAATTCAATGTTTACTATTACTTTCAGTTTTTCTCAGTGTTTCATTTGCATCATAGCACAGTGATTAGCAAAATTATCTCACAATTTATTGATAATGAATTTATTCTCAGTTTGGTAAATGGCCATAATTGACAAAAGTCATATCAGGAAGAATTCATTTCTCTGGTCATAGAAAAAAGTAATTTGCTACTAAAATGATCCTCTACTTTGATTGAGAAATAAATAGAAAAAATATCATGTCATTCAGTTTTTTGACAGTGAATGTAATAGCCAGATTTTATGTTTTGAGTTTGGTTATGAAATGGAATTGTATTCTCAGTGGGAGATGTGAATGGTCTAATATTCAGATATTAGCAAATATGAGTTACTGAATAAAGTAACATTTGTGAAAGCAATGTTTTCATCCCTGTTGTTAAAAGTAAGTAATAAATATTATTCTAAGTACTTTAAAAGAGAGTGTGAGCTTGTAAGAGATTTTATTGTCTCATCAAAAGAAAAAAAATAACAATTATGTGCATACAAAGTCATGAGTGATGAATGGATTGCATGAGGAAATATCATCAATATAGTCAGACATTAAAAATTATTTTTATGGAAAGGACAGTAGTTAATATGACAAACTCTCCAGGAGGCTGGAAATTTTTCATCTCAATCTGTTTTGATACTTGTCTGTAGACTTAAGTGCATAAAATATTTGATTTGTCATATTTTGGGCCCTCAGACTTTTTCATTTTATAGAAGGATCCAGTTTGAGACATTCAATTTTAATGCAAATAATCATCCCATTTTCATTATAAAAATCAATAAAAATATTTGAAACAAATGAGTTAATAATAAATAAACACTTACTTTTCTTCCTTATACTTAGAGATAAATGTATCAAGTTTTTTTGTCAGAGCTGCAAAGTGCTGTGTAAGGAGAGTTGATGTCTTCTTTAGGCTATGAACAAAATCAGAAGTATTTCATGAAATTTAAAAAAATTATATAAACTAAATTTTGAGGTTCTTTTTATAAAATACAATTAGAAAAAGAAAACAAAGTAAATAAAATCAGGAAAATGTTATTCCTAGAGTTGTAATTTTACAATGACTAGATGACATATTTTTACTATGAAAAAGTATTTAATGTGAAGGATCTCATAAGTTTTAAATTATCCATCATGAAAATTTACATCCTTACTCCACACATTTGTCACTTTTGAAATGTTCAAAGGATTAGACCAGCAGTTTAATCTTACTTACTATATATTGCAAAAGCTTCAATTTTTGTGACTAGCTTTAAATGGACATTGTGATACATTCAAGGTAAATTCCTGAATAAATTATTGTTTTTTAGTCTTTATGTGTATAAAATTGAACAGACAAATATATAACTGATTCAGCATGAAATCAGACCTTATCTGTATAAAATAACATTCAGACCATATCTGTAAATATTCTAAATATTCATCATACAAAATTATCTGCACACCATTCATGATTTAGCTTTTAGACTAGTGGTTGGCATCCTGGGTGCTAGTACCCACCAGTTAATGTTTGACTAGCTGTGATGGGTACTCAACCATTTTTGGCAGTGGTTAGGTGTTAAGCTTCGTTGGTGGGCATTTGAATTAATATCCATCATTTTTTGTAGTGGCAGGACTAACCATGAAACAATCAATGTTAACTGACCATTTCACTGTAATTATTCTATTCTTGCTATTCATGGCACATTCTTCTCAATTTGTTGTGTAGTTTGTATTTATGGTGTATTTCAATAATATGATAATGAAATAATGATGCACACCTCTAACAACATTATAATCATGTAGATATCTGCAGTGTAATATTCACCCAATAAAGATGTTGAGGTTATATATGATGTAGAAACTTTTATTCATATTTTCCTTTCATGAGAATAATTATTTTCATTACATTATATCTAAATTAGGCATGTTTCATAAATTTTCTAATTATTATTAACACACTGTCAAATAATAGTGCACTCTGTATTAACAACACACTCCTTAAATCAAAAAGAAAATTGTGGTGTATGCGTCACTAATACAGAAAATACAGTAATAGCAACTGTTCTGTTTGATCAGAGAGAGAGAGACAGACACACAGACAGTGTTCTTCCCTGTTGCTTGCACACACACTGGTGAAGCCGGCCTAGTTATAAATAGAAACAACATTCTGTTTCCATTCATCTTTGTTCATAGTGTGAGTAGTTAAAATTTGAATAAACATCATTTAAATTTAATCTGTTAATTCTGAAATTATTGAGTGGTAGGTATTCCAGATTCTGAAAGTTAAAAAATAGGCATTACACAGAAAAAGGTTGCTGAGCACTACCTTAAACTAATATTAATTAATTACTAATTATCATACAACTATTATGTATTAGTAATGAGTACAGAAATGAAGAACTATGAAATCAATATAGCAAATCTACTAAAAATTAAATAACCAAATTATTGTCAAATAATCAAGTAACAAAACATGAATGAAAAAAAAGGAAATACATAATTATGACAAAAAGTTAATTAAAAATCAAGCCTTATTAATCATGCAAATATTTAATACAGCTAAATATAAGAAAAATAAATAAAAAGGTATATTTCCAAATTTATAGAAGCATTACAGAAAATGTCAAGGTACATATTAACTGCTTAAGTTATAATTAAAAATAGTTTCATTAAATTAAAACTTTTTTAAAAAGAATGAATTAGGAATACAGCAATAAGAAAATATGCTGATTAAAGTTTTACATAGCTATTAAATGAAAATTTTTAAAACTTGTAATAGGAATTTTCATTTAAAAATTATGACCTAATAAACTACTTGTACTTGCAAAATAATCAAGGGAGTTGTAGTCTGGGGAGTTAGATGGCCAGATGTTTAGGGGTAATTTGATCGCAGAAACTGTCTGCCAGCCATGACTGTATTCTCTTGCTTGTGTGACATAGTTCAGAGTCCTGTTGCCAGATATAGTGTCTTCCAGCAGCCACTCTCTTGACCCAGGGCAGTATTGCCTCCTCAAAGCACTTGATCTGGTGTCCATGTTGAGTTTGAGGCCCTGTGGGAAGATGAATGGAGGTATACATCTCTCCAAACACCTTCGTAATCACCATTAGACTCATCCAACTCTTTCCGAATCCTTTAACAGCCAAACACTCTGAAATGTTCCTATTGAAAGTTCTGACGTGAATGCCAAACAGTACAACATGCCGTTTCCAAATTTCTGGCAGAGTGAATTGCATCATTGTGCTATTTTTCTCACAGACGGTGCCTAACTATCCCTACTACACTGTGTGGTCAACAAAATAAAAAACAAGCAATGCACATGCGTAAAATTAAAAATATAAAATGCTACCAATTTACCCATCGTACCCTGTATATATTGAAGAAAAGTGCCCTTTTCCATTAGATTTCTATAAATTTTGTCATGTTAGAAAATAAAGTAAACACTCTTTATGTCAGTATAAATTTTTTAAATTACAAGCCAAATTATGATTAATTAAAAACCAAAATAAATCAATTTAGTTTTGTTGAAGTGTCATGGTGGTGAGATAGAAAAAAACAAAAACTGTCTTTTACCTAAGGCAAATGCAATGATAATCTTAAAAAAATCTTACAAAAAAGAATAGATTCAATTTTTCAAATTAAATTATTATATATATATTATAATTATTATTATATTAAAAATGGTTTGTAAGTTGGTAGCATTAGTTTTTTATGCTTACTGTAGGTAAAATTACTCATGGGTATAAACTTCATTGAGTTTTCTAGGAAAACTCAATGCAGTTTATACAACAAAATAGAGAATATGGTGAATGTACATAAAATGTAAGATTTTAGTATTTTAGTGCTTTTTAAGAATAATTGCTTTACTATGGACAAATTCCATTACCAACAAATCCACTCTGATCTTAATTTTGCTTCAAGTAGTTCACCAAGCTGCCAAAGTAACATACTAAGCGTAACTTTTATTCTACCTAATCTATAAAGATAATTATTTTCACCAAAATTTAACAAATTCACTTTTTTAATTGGCACTGATTATAAATTATACTTAATAACTAATTAAATTAAATTACAATCTCAAAATTATGTTGTAAACTCCTCTTTTATGCTCAGACATACAGAATAAACCTCATTAATAAATTGAATATTGTTTCGTTTTTTTTTTTTTTGCATATTGGCTTCATTTTATTTTGAAGTATTAAATACAGAAATAGTTACTGGTAATATTATTATTACTTTTTAGCATTTTCTCTAATTGACAACTCTGATTTACTTTGAGAAGACAACATCATTTTTTACCCAGTTCTTTTTTTATGTAAACAAAATTATGCTACAGGAATGAGAAATGGAGTTGCACATATATATTTAAGAAACTTTAAATGCAATATTCTTAAAACTCTTATTGACGACATACAAGGTATCCAACTGACAAAATTCATTCAAAGTAAAAATCCATTTCATAACTTACTATAGATTATGAATAAATTTTAGCTAAAAGTTATTTTTAATCTTATTACAGTATAGATATTAATTAGTGTTAGAAAGAATGATCTTTAGCATCAAATTCTAATAACATCTTAATTGTGGAGTCAGTATGTTAGAGGCATAAATGATGGATGATTATTCATAAGTTAAGAGTAATTTGACATTTTTGCCAACTATTTAATTTAAATTCTATTTTTTCTAGTTCTGTAATCTTGCTTGTTTTTACCTGATACAGTTGTCGCGATTCATGGTATACTGCTTATGGACACGCTTTGTAGATTCATCCATTTCAGAAACACTCTCTTGAAGTTTAATAATTGATAACTTTGTCATTTCAATATCTCTGCTAAAGTCTAAAATAAAATTAAAAAAGATAATAAACATAATAAAAAACGTTGCTTGATAATAAATCAATGTAAGGTGATAACAAAAATAAAATTACAAGGCATAAACCCATTTTATCTCAAATGCAAACGAATTGTATATCACCAGGAGTACAAAGTATAAACAAAATGTTCTTCATCAATTAAGCAACAATTAATTTAAACATGATTTCATCTAATAAAAAGTGGTGTGACTCAGGACAGTTAGGTGGAATTGGCTTATCCCTGAGTTTTGTAAATAAAACTAGTAGTAAAGCTTAATTATGAGTACATGGTGAACTTGACTAATTCAAGTTCAGAATGGTGATTTGAGTCTGATGCTTATTTAGCTATGAAAAAATTATTTGGGTGGAAATCAACATCTGAGGAAAGAAAATGTAAACTTGTATAAAAGTTAAATTTATCATCAAAATCTCTGTATCATTAGTTAAAAGGAAGATTTTAAAAAATTCTGATAGAAAAATTGTGTACATTCTATAGAACAAGAGATATTTGTGAAAAATGACAGTGTGAAAAGTTGTTTACCTGTAAATCAAAAACAATTATAATAATTTGCACTAGAAAACTTTTAGAACTTTAAATATTACAAAATTTTAATTTTGATTACATATAAAAACATAAATACATTTTGTTAAGTGGATTTACAATAAAAGTTAAAACAAATAAATTATTGCTTTTTGTACATAATTCTTATAGGTATCAGTAGGCTTTTCTTTATTTTTTCTACTAATCTACTTACTTTTACTTTAAAGTAAACTTTCACTTCAGGGTTAGTATTCTGTTATAAAAAGTCCAGTAAACCTTAGTTAGATTTATGCCAAAATAAGGTGTATTGCTATCAGTAATATAGTATGGTATATGCATTATTTTGACATTTTTTTACCTTAAATTTTTTTTTTTACTCATTTCACCCCAAGCAAGGTGATGATGCCATTAAGATGCAAGAGCTTACTGGGAATGAAAGAGAAGGAGAAGACTTTAGTGAGGAAAAAGGACAATAAAAGTACAGAAAGACAGAAGACAATTGGCGTTGTATTTAAATTTTTGAAGATTATAGATGGCAGGAAAGCAAGAAACCACAAGAGAATTCCACAGGTGAGAATATCAGGTGAGAAGTATGAGAAAAGAAACTATTAGAATAGCACTTACAGTTATATCTAGATAGTTAAAAAGTGAGATCTAGTCACCAATCTAGTAGTACACATAAATTCATGCAGTTGATACACCAAAAAGGGAAGCTCATCAGAACAATTTCCATTAAAATATTTAGAGAAAAGAATCAAGGAAGCCATATTATAGCAATGGGAAAGTAACTGAAGTCAAGATGTCAGGTCAGAATTGATTACATCACAGACCCTTCTATGGAGTTTGTCAAGAATCTTGAAATATATAACAGGAACCCCTGATTGGATATGGCAGCAATATCTAATGCACGGACAAATGGTAGATTTATAAATGTACAAGTTGGATGCTGACAAGAAAAATTGTCTGGCATGATACAGTGAACCAACTTTCCTAGCAGTAAACCTCTCAATTGATTCAATATAATTGCTCCACTTCATGTCAATGAAAAATGTGAGACCAAGAAGGTGCAAAGAGTTGCTCTTCTAGAGGTTAGCATCAGCCATGCTGATGCAAGGCAGAAAAGGTTCTCTATGGTGATTAAATGATAGCAGTTTGTTTTGGAGATGTTAAAATTTACAGGCCATTCCTTGCCCCAGTTAATCACTGATTGGAGGTCATTTTTAAGAGCAGCTGCAAATTTTACTCTGTCAGACCTGCTACTAAGACATAAATAAATAGATGTGTCATCAGCATAAATACCTAGTTTTTACTGGTTTAGAAAATCCCCTGTTCTGGCACCAATCTGGTCCTAACTTTGCTAGATTAGTGGGATCAATCTGTTATATAAAAAAATGTTATAATTCTGCTAACTCAATAAAGAAATGCAATCTTTTCTTTGTTTCATTATTCCCCCAAAAGAGCTTTGGATCAAATTTATGTCTGAAATGTAATCAAAATTAAACATTCATCAAGTCATCAGAAATGTTTTTTAAGATATTTAATTTTATTTTTTCAAAATTAAGAATACTTTTCTTAATAGAAAATATGTGTTGTTGAAATTATCTTTTTTCTTTCATCTTGATTGTACTAACAGAAATAACAAAAAATATTCTTTCACTAAAGATCTTTATGAATATGAAAATCAAAAAGTGTGTTAAATCTTCTATGAGAGACAAAGATAAATTAAGTTGGTCTCAAGTACAGTAAGTTATATCTGAAATTATTTGAGGACTAATTAATATTTGCATATAAACAAAACAAATTAAGTCAACTAGAATCCATAATTTTTACAGAGACCATTTACATTAATCTTCTAATTTTTTTTATCAAAATATATGTTTTAATTAACATACCTTTAATAAGTTGAATTTCTTTCTCAATAGATATTATGTATTGTTGATTATCATATTCTGTAAATTAGAATAAAATAAAATTATCATTGCTAGAAATTTTTGTGAAAAAAATCACAAAAAAGTACAAAAATAAAGAAAAATTAAATAATAGAATTGTCAACATGTAAAAATAACTGTTTTTGTTTCTTCAAATACAGTATAAATTCCGAATTAAATGTAAACCTTTACCCTGTTCTAAATGTCTAATGCACTCTCAGTTTTAAATTTTATATATATATATATATATATATATATATATGTTATTTTTATGCATGCACTTATTTGAGTAAATATGCTCTGTTCCTTCATTTAATTTGATCATATCACACCAGGCTTAATCTTGTTTTTTGTATAGGATACAGGTTCGATTCCTATTGTCGGATGCATATTTTCTACAAAATTTCTCAAACATTCAAGCCACTAAATGTGATTAATACTGTTTAATTGAAGAAACAGAGCATTTACTCAGATAAGTGTATCCATAAAAAATAACATATAAACAGAAAATATACTAAATATTTGTTGGATTTAATCCATGTCCAAGTGCTTATAACATTTGCTTTTCAACAATGAAACACAGGCTTGAATCTCACCACAATCAGGAAGGTGATTTCTTGATGTTATTGATCTGGGGAGGCAATCCCAGTGTGTGGCACCTTTGTAAAGTGCCTGAAAAACACACCCTGGATTGGCTCAAGCCTTGTGAGTGAAATTCTGAAAATGGAACTGTTTAGAAGCCATTCATGATTGTACTAGTATGAAATCACAAGTCATCATGACCAAGGGTTTGTGCATACTAACATGATTTAAGCTGCTGATAACAAATTATGCACTATCTCCCCAAAACTGTAGATAAGGTCCACTCAGCATAGTTGCAGTATATGCCACAGGTGGGATCTGTGGGTGTTGAGAAAACACAAAGGTGCCTGAGCAGATGTGTGGAACAGGGATTGGCTAGCTGCCCTAGTAGGTGTTCTCAGAAAATGAGAGTAGCCGGCCTGACCATTTTATATATATATATATATAATAATTATTTTAGGATATTAAAACATAAACATGTTAAAAATTGCTACAAATCTATAATATTTAGCTCTACTCTGTAGTGAGCCCTCTTTTAAATTAAATGTAATTATACTTCATTTGTTCTCATTTTACCTGTATATATATATATATATATATATATATATATATGAGGATTAAATTTGTAAAAAACAGAATTTTTAAAAGTGCTCAATATTTAGAATATAACAGAGCATAAATAATTTTTTTTTAATTAAAAATTTACTTACTGTAAATTATTTTATCCGTATTTGATTATTATTATCCCAACTACACAGTTTCATGGTGTAGGTCCACTTTTCAAAGTTTCTTTTTTTGATAATAAAAAAACCTTGAAAAATACATAGAAGAAACCTCAAGAAATCTAAATAAAAATTATATGAACAAAAAAAAAATAAATTGAAAAGTGGACCTACACCATGAAACTGTATAGTTGTGATAATAATAACCAAATACAGAGAAATTAGTTTAAAGTAAATTTTTCAATTTAAAAAAAAATTTAAATTTTCAAGAGAAAAACAGTACTAAAGACATTGCATGACAAAGTGGAAAACGTTTACTTATGACGTACTTCATCCTTCAGGACTTTATTGGACTAAATTTGTTATGTTGGTAAGACTATAGATATGTGTATGATTTTTCCGAATTTATTTAGAATCTTTTTCTTTTCATCACTTTTGTAAAAATTTGTATTCCAAATTTGATATTATAAGATCTGCTATGAATAGTAAAATGTTGTAAGAGCCAGGGCATAAATTTACTGTAGATGACTTTGTGATTAAGGCACTCACTAGAGATTTACATCATAGTGAATTATTTTCTCCTTTGACCAGAGTAGCATTTTTTATGTCAAAGTTGTGGTCACTCTCATTATGGTGGGAAAACAACAAATATGACATATTATTTTGTAAAATATCCCTTTTGTGTTCATATAATCTTTTATTTAGATTCCTTGAGGTTTCTCCTATGTATTTTTTGTGACAATTATTACAGGCAAAGGAGTAAACTTCTCCTTCAGGTTTTAGTTTAATTTGAGTATTTGAAACTCTTTTATCACAGGGTATTTACAATATGACTACATGTTTTAGTCACCTTAATATATTTTGAAGCCAACTCCCAAAGTACTTATATAGTGTTTGAAGGGGTGGAGTAGAGGGGCTTAGTTCCCTAAAAATGTAAACAACACAACCATTGGATAGATTTTTATGAAATTTGAAAGAGATTTTATGTATAACACCTAATGATATAGACTATATATATATAACTTATTTAAAAAACGTGGTGTTCCAAGGGTGCACAAATACCCACCTCAAAAAAAAAAAAATGTTTCCATAGATTTAAATGAAATTTAAACCATACCATCTTTTTACATTTGTTTCATTTTTACATCCAAACATTTGATTGAGATGGCAAATTTAGTTTCCTGTAACCTACACAATAGCTACTGTTTCCTTTTTATATAATAATCCAATTAATATGGATCTGAGTGTAGTTTTTCCATAAATTTTGTCTCTTTTGGACTAAGGAGGCATCATCTATACAATAACTACAATTTCATTAATATGAAACTTTACAATTTATTTGAATTCTTGATAAAGTCATTTATCCTATAATGACCAAGCCTAAACAGCTCTATATCTTTCAGATGTCAGTTCTGCCAGCTGATTATCCTAAATAATAATTAGGCTACACTCTTACTACAATGCCTCTCAAAAAGTTTTGTTTTGAACCACCTAAGCAATACCGGTGCAGGAAAAGAGAAAGAGCAGAAGAAACTGAAGATCAGTTGAGCAAAAGAAGGAGAGAAGATTCAGAAAAGAATTCAACTTCACAAGTGTCATAAAATCAAGAACAAGCGAGTCTAAGACAAAGATTAGATGCCTGAAAAGCAAGAAAAAGCTGACAGAAGATGTACATTAAATGTTGAATGGAATGTAGCAGCAAGACAGTCTGAAAATCAAGAAACTGACAGAAGACATACATTAGATGCTCAACAGGCAGCAGCAGTAAGACTGTTTGAAAATCAAGAAAATGACAGAAGACATACATTAGATGCTCAACAGGCAGCAGCAGTAAGACTGTTTGAAAATCAAGAAAATGACAGAAGACATACATTAAATGCTCAATGGATTGCAGAAGCTAGACAATCTGAAACTCAAGAAGAAACTGAAATGAGACATAACATGGATTCTCAGCAGACTGCAGCTGCCATGCAATCTGAAACTCCAGAAGTAAGGGAGAGAAGACTCAGAATGTATACTCGACGGAATGCAGCAACCAGGCAACTGGATATATTATACTGAAAATAAACATTACTATAATGGTATATTTTTTTAATATTGATGTTTGTTGTAATACTTAAATAAATATTGTAATATGCATATGTTTATAGTTTTCCCCAGTCTTTTATTTAGTTATATATATATGATGATTGCTTCATTAATAGACCAAAATATAGAGATTACAGACCAGAAGTTTATATGCAACCATGATGATACTGGCCTGGAGGAAGCACCTCTTTGTTCTACATGAAAACTGGTAGTCCTTTCTATTGCCTTACCTGAATGTTAACAACCATTTATTATTATATGTTCAATACTCTCTAATCAATATCTTTCAAAAGCATAATACAAATTTGGCAGCTTCTTCCAAATGATGAGTATTTTTGCTCGCATATATTCATATGTGTCTATGTGTGTGGGTGTGTAAGAGAGAGTGAATCTATAAGTCTCTAGTCTTATAAAATTATCAGGTGAATTTTGGTCTGAAATTTTCACTGTAAAATATTCAGCCTATGTGATTCTGCAGGCCATCCTGGATTCATTCATAATTTTCAATGCTTCAGATTATTGTAGTCAACCCACTTTTCATCTTGTTTCATATATGACAAGAAATGAAAATGCAGGTGGTGAGATGCTGTCTAATATTTCACTTTAGTAATTCATGTAGAACTTATTTTTCTGTTTTTTTATTTTCCCCTTACTTTAAAATTTTTTCTAACTTCATTATTCATTTATGCATAACTTGCTTTTACAATTGATATTTTCTTGAAAAAAAAAGACAAAAGTTATTTGATAACAAGAAATAATTGTTAAGAGGATATAATTAAAATTTAATTATTAAAAATAATTTGTTCTGAATAAATGAAAAAATTCCATTAAAAATTTAACTCACCATAATTATGAAGAAGTTGGTCAAATTCCGCAGAATATTCATTCATGGTGGTAAATTGTCTGAGACTGAAAGATCATGATATATTTTATTATTTACCATTATAATTTTCAGCTCATTTCTATGTTAAATAAAAATTATTTAAAAGACATAAAATACAAAATATTTGGCCTTAATTGAAATCTCTTTTTTCTTAAAATTTTTGTCAGAATTTTTTAAACAATTTCAAAGATTTTCATTTCATTAAATATTATTTATTTTTTTATCAAGCCTGTAATTAATATTTTTTTCATATAACAGCCATACATATTTATAAATAAGTTTATAGAAAAGGCACAGGGAAGCTACATTATGGCAGTGGGACCAATGACATTGCAGATTCTTCTCTGGATTTTATCAAGAATCTCTAAATATATAACAGGAACACCAGACCAGATGTGGCAGCAATATTCAAAGCATGGATGAATGTTAGACTTGTAAATATGTAATTTAGATTTGGGCAAGAAAAATTGTCTAGCACCACACAGAAACAACTTTCTTAGCAGCAGACCTAGCAATTGATTTGATATAATCTCTCTACTTCATGTCAGTGGAAAATGTTAACCCAAGGTGCATTGAGTCATATCCTCCTGGAGGTTAGCATTAGCCATACTGACGAAAGGCAGAAATGGTTCTCAGACAATTATTCTCAAAAGGAATAAATAGGTTCACCTATTGTCTGCTTCATACTCCTCCCTGTTCTTTTGAACAGGAGTAGAGATTTATCCTTTGTTTCCTGTTTAGGACTGGGTTTCTGGTTCCTTCTAAAGTCTTTCATTCTCTTTCACTCCCAGTAGCCCCTTGTGTCTTAGTCGCATTATTGTCTTGATTACAGTGAAGTGATTAATAAAAAAGATCAAGTACTTCAACTCAATGTCTGTCAGAAAGTATTTCTTTTAAAAAAAAAAATAGATAGGCAGAGGCCCACAACTGAAGAGTGAGAGTGGTATGTGTATGAACAAGGATCAGAAAATGGAGTGGCATTGCCTACATTGGTTGAAAGTGCAGAGTGGAACTCTGTTAGGTATAGATGAACATCTAAAAAAAAAACAAAAACAAAAAAACAAATAATTAATGATCCAGAGTGGTTCATTAGTCAAATCAGTGGCAAAGAAGACCAGATGACCGGAGAGTTTGCAAAGTAAATTCTTCTGAAGATAAGAAACTAAATTATGTCCTGAGATTGCCATTTTCCAAAGTAAGAAATAAAAAATTAGATATCCCAAATCCTAAAAGTTAGCAAATTTGTGAATATTTACATCTGTCTAAAGAAAGATAAGAATTAATTAATAATCTGAAAAGGTAATTCATTAAAGTTATAAACCCAGTTTAATGCTGAGTATTAGGTGAGGGGATTTTCCTGAGTTTTATAACAAATGACTTTCGTCTAATTTCTTAATATAATCAGTTTCTAGTCAGTTGCAGTTACACTTCACAGAATAATCAGAACCTGAAACTCTGATTCTTGCTGTACCTAAGTTAATACATATGTTCAGTTAGAGAACCAGGGATAGAAGTAGAGTTCTATAAAACCAGCCATACAGCCACAATATTTTCCAGTTGTGACAGAAAATAGGATTCAAGAGACATTGTACTGAGACATTGTGATATAGCAGAATACTAGTTTATTATCTCTTATTTTCTTCTTCAATGCAACCAGTTTTGTTTCCAGGAAGGACCAAGGAAGAATTAAAGCCAACAAGAGTAACATGCAAACCCTTGTGTAAAACTCTGTGTTACCTTGCCAACAAGCTGTTTAAATAGAAATAAACACATTGGATGATAGGGCAAATAATCCAATTACTCATATTTATTGACCAGTTCCCTCAAAGACTGATGTAATGGTCAATTGTTACATGTCAGTAAGGTTTTACAAGAGTATTTTCTTGTTATTCGTTCAAAAAGCAAATTTTCTTGGATTTCCTCGATGTCTTGAAATCTTGTTCCTTTCAAGTTAGAGTTGATTATTGATGTGGAAAAAGTTGCTAGGGACAACTGGAGAATGTTGTGCTTGGCCAAAAACTGCTGCACAAGCCGTGTTCACTGATGTAACCTCTTTGGTGTGGTGAGATGACCACACTCTACACACTTTCCTTCCAAACACTACAATAAACAATGGAAATTAACGAGAACATTATAATTTAGTGTGTATGTTCGACAGAATTCAAGGTCAACCTGTGACAAGCAGCTTCACTCTCCATATTTTAGCTGTTACCATAGTAACAGTCCCTATATTTTTTGATCAAACCTCAGACACTACCTGTACACAGTACCTGTAAAAAAAAATGACAGGATTATTTCTATATAGATTAGCACTTCTGTCTAAACCCAGAGTATCTGTGCACTTTGCCTATGATAAAACTGTTACTTCCCAGCAGTTCTGTCTAGGTATCAACCAAGGTCGCTTTAATGTGGGAAACGCCATACTTAATTACTTACTTATGCATATGGATCAACATTAAACATTAATATTCCAGATTTCTCTTGCGAAAATGGCCTAAAATATTTGGAGCAATAGGAAAAAACATGTTTGAACTTCATTATTTTAAAAATAACCTACATAGTACCTTCATGGGGGAAAATATTTTCATTTGGAAAAAAAATTGAGTTTTAAAAGAGATAATTGGCTACAAAATAAATGTTCAATTTTTAATGTAGGTAAATGCAAAATTGGGCCCTGATTATACATCCAGCTTCTTACATGGCAAACTATTTGAAATAATTTCCTATGCAAAAATTCAGTTAATTTCTACCGAATTTTGTTTTACTTACTGTATCCTTTCAAAAGTAATAGAGGTATGGTAATTTAATTCAATAAAAAAATCATTATATAATCTTATTGAATTAATATATATAAACAAAAACAAACATTAAAATAGTGACATTACTTCGTTACTATTTTTTATAACGACGGTTAGAACAAGTAAGTGTAAAGACGGAAAGCAGAGTGGACATAAATTCAAGGTCCAGTTTATCAGTACATTTTATTTACATTGTTGTAAAAACATTCTGAATTGTAAAGTAACCCCGCTCCAACAACACTTGATCAACTTCCGTAGTTTTCACGTTAAAACTTTCAGTTTCTTGAAAGAAAATGGGTTCTCAAAGAAATAAGTACCATTTTCATAAAGAAAGACTAAAGAAAGAGCCAATCTACATGATAAATTTTCGTAGAAAAATATTAAATTTTAACAACTTATTTAACAGAATCTTTAACTGCTTTTTTTACTTTTATATTTTTTCTTTTTTTACTGTTTTCTTTGGTTATTTTCAGATAAGAATATTTGTCATTACTGATTTTTCAAAACAGTTCTAATTTTTTAAAATTTCCCAAAGAAGCATGTCATACATACGCTGATTCAGTGAAGCAGATCAAACGACACAAATTTTCTTACAAAAAACAGTTTGTTGAACCGAAACTTTTTTTTTTTTTTTAATTATAAACAAAAAGTGTTTAAATAATAATAATGTACTTACATTAATAAAAACTGCTTTACATGACCAAATTTTCAAAATGATTTACCTGGGGTGAAAAAAGGGTTCAACTAGACTAGAGAGTAATAAATTTTCATAAATTGACCGAAACGACAGATAATTTTTTCTTTTCTTTTTTTTGTCAGTGAAAATTCAG